TTTGAGCCTCGCTAGCAGTTCTAGGTTAGCCAATTGTTTTTTTAATGGATTATTATTAAAAAATGTATTGCTAAGTGAGTTGAATTCTCTTCTACGACACCCAATGGGTAGTTGGACCCAGTAGTTAAGCCCTTCTAATTGACTGGAATTACTTTACTATATATATATTTTTTTAATAACAAAAAAATTCCAGTCCTAATAGTATTTAGCTACTTTTTAGATAGATAAATTAATTGAATTTTCACTTTTTATGAGGGTTCGCAACAGCCGTAAGCGGTGCCGAAGCTCTGCATTTATCGCTAAGCAATAAGATTCAGCGTATGCACCTAACAACTTTTTTGTGTAGGGGAAGATAGGGTTCCAAAAATGTAATAAACCAGAGAGATATATTCTTAAACATTTATTGTTGATATATTCTTAAACATTTATTGACTGGCCTGTCTCGATATGGCAACAAACAAACATAAAGTCAGGTAATCAAGGCAATTCAGTCGCAACTCTAACTCTGGAATGAGCTTATTCACAAGAGACCAAATGATGCTCACCAGCTTCCAATACATCCCACTTCTTCCAGGATCTTCTTCGTGGGTCCTCGACCGTCGACTGTCCGTCTTGTCCCAATGGCTGGTCGTTGATGGCTGTCTTCCGCTAAGTCCCGACTGACTTGATTTATCTGTACTGAAGTCGATTGTCCTTTCCAAATCTTCTCCTTTTATACCAGTTTTCTCTGTGTAGATGACTCTCAGATTTACGGCCTTATTTTTAATATTTTGGTTTACATTCCTTACAACTATTTTTAAATTATTTTAGCAACATTTCTTAACTTATGCTAAGACGGAGCTTTGTGGTCGTATAAAAAGACCCCATTTCGGCTTATAATAAAATTATTCATTCGATATTCTGTATCCCTTTTGCTCCTTGCGTCAAAATTCAAGAATCAACATGTGGTTGAAAGAAAAAAAACTATTTATTTTCTAGACTTCTTTTATTGGAAATACACCTTTAGTACCTGTAAAAATGGTCGACTTTTACTACTTTACAAAGTACGTACTTCTTTTATGGATTCAGGTCGTTACTACTTAAATTTATTAGGAAGCAACGAGCTTTGCTTCAACCAACCCGGACATCCATGCCAAACTTTCAGTTTTATTTTATTTTATTTATTTATTTACGCATCGAAATCTACCATAAAAAGACATTTTACAATAACAAAAAATAAAAATAATATACAAAATAATATATGCAAGAAATACAAATAATATATACAAAAAGAATAAGGACATATATACATGGTAATATTATAAATGGTAAATATAAATGATAAATATAAAAAATGCAATTAAAGAATAAAAACAATAACAACAAGAATAAAAGACATAATTATTAAGCAAATTAAGGCAAAGGAAACAAAATAAAGCTGAAAGACAATTGAAACTACAATATTTAGGTACACATTTAATGAAAATAATGCTCTTTGTAGATATATAATAAGACTAGAGTGCAAGATTTAGGTGAACCAGTAAATGAAATAAATTGTAATAAACTTTTAACGGTATGAAATATAAAAGCATTTAAAAAATATAAACTGGTAAGAATATTCAACTAGAGTAGGGTTGTAGGATATGGTTTTTCACAGATTGCACAGCACTTTTGAAGAAGTCAATGCAATTGCAGATGTTGTTACTCTTGATCATCATTCGGTGTAGAGGAGAAGAGAGCATATAGTTAGAGCTTTGGAATTCAATATAAAATAGTTTGTGGGTTTTGAGAGAGACGTGTAGCTGCAGCTGAGAGAGGAGAGAAGGACTATCAATTAGATTGTTTAATTATTTAAATTCAAAAACAATATCAAAATTATCGCTTCTTAGAGCCAGTTCGAAAAGTTTAAATTCAGGGCAGATTCCAGGGTAGGCGGAGTTCGGAGGAAGATTGAGTTTGTAAGAAAGTTAATTTAAAAATTTGTTTTGTACAGATTGAAGAATTTTTTGATAATTTAGATAGTACGGGTTCTAAACAGGTGTAGCGTATTCTAGTATGGGTTGCATAAAAGCTTTATAAAGATGGACAAAACATAGAGGATTTTTAAATTCATAGGTGTTCCGATGAAGAAACCTAGCATCTTCATAGATCTATTTTTTATTGAAGAAATATGTTCTTTAAACTTGAACTTTTGATCAAAAAGTACACCAAGATCCTTTACGACCTCAACTCGCGTTAAAAGAGCATCACGGAGAGTATAGAGATAAATAAAAGATTGTTTCTTATGAGAGAATGTAATTGTGTAGCATTTGGAAACATTAAGAGCAAGTTTGTTGTTAGAGCACCAGGTTAGCACATTGTTGGTAGAATTTTGTAATTGTAAGCAATCAGAAGGAGAAGTGATTATGGAATAGATTTTCAGATCATCAGTAAATAATAAAAATTGAGCAGAAGGGAGAGCAAGATGGATATCATTAATAAATAAGAGAAACAAAACTGGTCCAAGATGAGACCCTTGTGGGACTCCCGAGGAAGCCACAAAGGGACATGATTTAAAAGATTTTATTTTGACTATTTGTTTTCTGTCGGAGAGAAAGCTGGATAACCAATTCAAGATAGTTCCGGTGAAGCCATAATCCATTAGTTTCCTTAACAGTATTGTGTGATTTACTTTATCAAAAGCTTTAGAAAAATCAGTATAAACTGACTACTTGGTGTCCAGAGTTTACTGCATCTAAGATATAATTTTGAAATATGAGCAGGTTAGTAACAGTTGGAGCAGAAACCATGTTGCTGAGATATAATAAAAGATTTTATGTCGTTTTTATGGTTATTACAAATAATGGAATCAAATGTCTTGGAGAACGTGGATTGAATAGATATTGGTCTGTAATTGGAAACATTAGATCTATCGCTGGCTTTATGTAGAGGAATGACAAAAGTGCACTTCCAAGCATTGGGGAAAATACATGTTTTTAACGACTGGTTCAGAATATAGTGTAGGGGAGCGTTGAAAACTACAGAACAATTTTTAACTAATATGGGGGTATGCAATCAGGGCCAGAAGACTTTTTCACATTGAGTAATGAGATTGAGTCTAGTATTTCATCATATGAGATATAGTAATTAGAGATAGTGTGAGAAGATGGCATAAGGAGAGAGGTTGTTTCCGGTAGGGAAGTGGGGAGATCAGAACTGTGGTCATAGACTTGAGAGAAATAGTTCCTACTCACAGTAAGTTGTTTTGCAACGATCCGGATTTCGAGCCTTTCAGCTCATCATCAGGTTGAAGGACTTCTACAACCACGTCTCATGGTTGTAGAAGTCCTTCAACCTGATGATGAGCTAAAAGGCTCGAAATCCGGATCATTGCAAAACAACTTACTGTGAGTCGGAACTATCTTTTTAAAAAGGATTGAACACCACACTCACTCCATCATTTATCATTTCTATTGAGAGAAATATTTAGCAAATAGATTAGCAATGTAATGGCCATTAGACAAAGATTCATTTCCTAAACGCATGAAAGAGGGCATGGCCTTGAATGTTGACAGAATTCACATAATTCCAAAACTTTTTAGTATTAGTTTGCATTGAGTTTTCTGTATCAGAAAGATATTCGACAGTGTTTGACATTGGACTTTAAGAGATGAAAATTTTGAATAATAATAATTATCATGAGTTAGCTTGTACAATACATTTTTTTGCATAATTTTTTCAATAAGTTATGTTTCCATGTTGGATATGAGTAATTATTACCAGTCTTGGTTTTAAGAACATACATTTCTAAAGCTATTGAAAGAATTGATAAAAATAATTTAAACACTCGTTTACATCTGTAATACTAAATAGAATATCCCAACGGAAGTGGGAAAGATAATTTTGCATCACATCATAGTCTTGAAAAAATTCTATTCAACATTAGAGAATTTTAAGAAAGATTTACTAAGTTTATAAGATAAATAAATATTTAAGGAAGGATGAAAATCGTCTTCATTACAAGACTAGTCAAAGACTTATGAAGTATGGGTTGAAAACAATTGGTAAATATTAAATCTAACTTCCTATTCTTAACATTAACTATATTGTTTACCTGCTTTAAAGCTAGTATATTTACAAATGAGCCGTAGAGTAACTTGGCTGGTGAGGAGCATATCGTTTGACTAGAGGAACAATCTTCATTGTCCAACCAGTCTGGTATATTCAAATCACCTCAAAGAAGAATCTGGCAGTTTGGGCATTGAGCACTTACGTTCTCTACTTCATCACATAGCTGTTCGTAATCACATGTTTGACTAGGTGGTATGTAGACTGTGGCCATCAAATACTTAGTAAAGCCGATGTCAAAAAGTATGAAGAGCAGTTCTAGGTTTTGAGAGTTTGGTGGTATACGAACTGAAGAATAGCAATTCCTGATAGCAATCAATACACCTCTGCCATGGTGCTTCGTGCTGGTTAGAGCATTTCCATTCTGTCTATATACACAATAATTGTTCAAACCAAGTTCAGAGTCTGAGGTGCCAAGTTCAAGTGAGAGCCATGTTTCAGTAACTAGAATAATATCACAGTCCAAGCTAGGGACACTATTGAAGTTGTTAGTTTAGTGTTTAAGCCTCTTACATTTTGGTAAATTAAACTGAGAGAATGATTCAATCCGTTATTTACATGTTTTTTTGGGTTTTGGTTATGTACTATTCTAGGAGCGCCATTGAAATGGCGAATAACCTAATTCGATTCTCCAGAATCCATTCTTTTTTTTAGGTTCTTCTCTTAAAGATGAATAGTAAGACTGTTGCATTTTGGTTTTGTCATTTGTGGTTGAAATGGAAACGAAACCGGCCTTCTTACCAGCTCTGAAACTATGCTGCAGCAGCTGAGCATCTTCTTCATTGGAGCAAACCACTAGGGCGGTTTTTGTTTAAAATTTGGTGTTTTCCCAGTCTTTGCAACCGAAAAGTTACTTTATTGGACGTATGAGAAACAGTTTTAAACCCAAAACCAATTTTTCTTCCTGTTCTAACCTTTCTTGAGCATTCAAAGAAGTAGCTTCATTAACGCCAAAAAGTATGATATTCTTCATTCTTATAGAACGTTCATTTAATTCTGAAATTACAGATTCAGTAAAATCAGGTTTATCACAAAAGTGCTCACCTTTTGCACAAGACAGCGTACTCTCCATGTCATCAATCTTTTTATTTATGTCATTTAGTGATTGTTACAACCGAGCAAGATCAATATGTTTATTTTTCAATTCACAAATAGACTGTTTTAATTCCTTTAAGGAATAATTAGAGTCTGTATCACAACAAAAACAAAAGAAAAGCAATTGTCTCTTGGCATCCTTCATAGACTTGAGTTCATTGCGAGTCAAGATCATTCATTTAATATGAATTGGTAAATTACATTTGAAACGTTGAATGTGTCAGTAGCACCGATGTCTTTTTGACAGTTTAAGCTCAAACTTATGTCTAAAAGCACCATTATTAACTTTTATAAAGAATAAAAAGAACACAAGCTTGTAACAAGAGGTTAGTGTTCGCATTCTTATGTACAGTTAAAGCCTTCAAATCGAATCTAAGCTTTCTTCTCTTCCATTCGGATTTGCCATGTATGTTAAAACGTGCCTTCGGATTAATTATAATTGAATAGTAAATGTTCTGACGTCTTTTGTGGTTTTTACGTTTCTCAAAACCTTCAAAAAGCTCGTAATTTATAAATGATACAGAGAAAATCTTTACTTGGTCCTCATTTCGTTTTGAGTGTCAACAATTCGGTATGAGTACGTTCTCTACTCTATATATAATTTTAAGTTGTATTCTTAACTGTATATGTAATTTGTTTTATGTTTTCAATGGCTTGTATGTTATAGAATAATGTTTTATAATGTTATAAATTTGTTAATAGCTGTACTCACAAATACATTTTTCTTTCCAGGTGAAAGGAGGGGAGCAACCTGAGGCTTCCGACAAGCTGGATTCTATATTGAAGGTGAGTTTTAGTATGTTTATTTTATCCTGAGTCTGCCAAGGATTGGCCTACTTCGACTGGGAGCGGGAGTACCTCAGGGCAGCAAATTTGTACCGATCCTTTACCTCCTCTACACCCCTGATATCCCAACTTCACCCTCCACCATCCTTGCATCCTTTGCTGACCACACAGACAAAAAATGACCATACTAGGTCATCATCTCACAGACTTTAAGAAAAAAATCTCACAGTAAAATTTCTTCTTGATACTCCATTAAATCAATTTATTTTATAATTGTAATCGAAATACATATCTAAAAAATATACAATTTTTTCCACTGATGACATTATTTTACTTTATTAATCTTTTACTCTAATGTCAAATAGCTTAATATAAATACAATTAGTGTTTGTTTTACTTTCATTTCATTAACAGTGGAGGCACTTTCAATCTACTTGACCCTCTTTATTCAAGTTTTAATTAATGGTAGTGACCATTTGCACCAAATCCCAGATTAACCTAAGCTTAAAGTAATTTAGTAGTCATAAAAGGGGTCAAGGAATAAAATTCTACCTAGAATGAGGTGCAGTCCATTAGCTTGCAAATGATTCATTTTCAAAGAAAATAATAATTATGAGTAATTAGTGTTAAAGTTGGTAAAATGCTTTTTGTACAAAAAAACTTTATAAAATCATTCCCAAATTGTTGAATACAAATAATCACAATGAAATTATTTAATAATTTATTAAAATATGATTGCGTTTTCAAAGCAAATGCGAGAAGCCACCGACAAAAGGAAGGAAATTGAGAAAGAGCACACAGAAACACTAAACCTCCTAAAAGAACAACAGTGGAAAATCCAGAAGACTGTTACCAATTCTTCAGAAAAAAGCAAAGCTTATGAAGTCATCGAAACATTACAGGTTAATTTTATTATTCACTCACTATTATAACTCATAGATTTCAGTTTAAAATTCAACAAGACAATAATTAAAATTGTGTAATGTATAACTTAGATTTTAACATATTGGAGATTGTATTTATTATATGTGTTTTCCAGATTTATAGACCAAAAACATCCATAATTCAATTTTTTTTTTCGTGAAGATGAGATAATACACATGCGACTATTGACTGTTCGGTTGTCATTGATCCTGCAGTCGTAGGTTCGATTCAAGTCATCACCCCTGAAATGTCTCACCTCTCTTCCAACAAACATTCAAAACAAACTTTGACAAGAAAGATGTCTTTTCCACCATGTGTTGAAAGTAGACGAGGTTAGGTGCTTCCATACGGGTATTGGTGATCTGTTTTTTCCGGTGAAAATTGTGGGATATTGCTATCTCTAGTAAAATATTTAGCCCTTCCTCACGTGGTGGTAACACTTAAAAAACACAATTCAAATATTCAAACACTAGAAACACCTATTCCAAGTTTGGTGGTACTCAGGGTATTCAATATTCCACATAACCTTTCAAATAGTTGATACAGTTAAACTAAAATTGCACATTATCTAGTATTTGATATTACACTAATGCTTTGTCACCATACATTCTGTAAGCACATAAAAACTAATCTAGTTTTGGTGCCTTTTGAGTAGTCTATATTACACCATAAACCCACACACACACACACACATACTCTCTCACACTAATAAATACATTCATACAAAAAGGAAACATTTCAAACAGTGTACACAATACAGGCAAATGGTGCGTCACCTGGGTATTTGATATTACACCAGTGTCTCTAATATAAATACATCTAATAATAAATACATTCATATGAAAAAGAAATCTTTCAAACTGTATGTACAATTAAAAAAATGTCGCGTCACTTGGGGATTTGATATTATACTGATCCCTCGCCACCATTCCCTCTATAAACATATAACAAATAACCTTTGGTTGATCTGTGGAGTACTCTACATTCCGCCACAAACCTACCCACATACTCAAAAGCACACTAATAAATACATTCATACAAAAAGGGAACCTCTCAAACATTGTGTACAATTTAAAAAAAATGGCATGTCACCTGGGTATTTGATATTATGTCTAACCACCATTCACTCTATAAACTTATAACAACTAACCTTTTTTGGTGGATCTTTGGAGTACGGTATATTCCACCAAAAACCTGCCTATACATGCTCAAAAGCACTAATAAATACATTCTCTCAATATAGAATAATCATGCATGGAATGGCATTTATCCACTTTTTATTCATTAAATCTTTATGCCTTCTTACATAATATAATATTCATTAAGAGCATACTAGTTCTTTTCTTAACATTATTAATTATTTTTAATTTTTATTAACTGAGGGGACTATGGTGTCCGAGCTGTAACTACCATGGTAGCGGTTCTGGGATCGAATCCTGGCAGATGGCTTTTTAATAAACAGTGGTATGAAAAATGCATTGTAAAGTGGTTTGACTCCTTGTTCGCAACACCCAACAGGTAGTTGGATGTTAATCCTTCCTGTATGACAGGAATTGTTTTACTAACTCTTATTCAATATTGTTGTAACTAAGGTACTGTACGAGTAGTGGACACTTGCACTCAAAACTTGAAAAATAAAAATTTGATCAATTATTGCCTTTCCAAATCAAAGTTGGAATTAGGTGGAACCATATAGGATATGATTTGCATTGCAGTGGCATCAATGGTCAACCTTTAGGAGTTTGACAATTGGCCAACCTTTGGCTCAGTCGAGTTTCTTCTTGTTCAGTTGCTGTTTGTTTTTGCTATGTAGGTAAATAATTGTTTTACTTGTTTACTCCCAAAATTATTCTGTAACTCATTTTTAAGTATGTTACTAATAAATTGGACTCTATTATTCACATGATTTGCTTTAAATCTGCAACTGTCTCCATTGTAAGATTTTAGGCTTATGTGTCCACTAGTGAATCAGAAAATACCCTAAATTTAGATGTGGACATCAGGTGTTCACTACTAATGCATTTACTAATTTATTATTTTAGCAAATTTTCACTGTCAACATACTGTGGCCATAGAATTGTCCCATCTAAATATGATCATCTAACAACCTGGGCCAGTAGTGGATACCTAATTTGTTGCATGATACAATTGAGGAAGGGGGCATGTGGCATTGTAAACTGGATTTCAGTATGCCAAATCTGGTTTCTCTGTATGACAAGATGAACTTCTTAATGGCATACAGAAGTTGCTAAAGGATTTAAAAAGAAAAATATTTTGTTGATGCCCTGGCCGAATTTGGTTTCAGCCGTTTTTAAGGAGAAAACCAAGCATCTCAAAATGAATTGCTCAAAACCCAACCATTAGCAAAGCAGCTGTCAGCATACAGTCTAAACAAGTGGTTTACATTAGTTCATGTTTATCTCAAAGTACAAGGGCTGGAGAAAATATTCAGAGGCCCAAGTTTTGTATATTCAATGCAGATAAAACTGCCTTTTATTTAAACCCAAAAAACAATTGTCTACTGGCTATTCAAGTAGATAAAAATGTTTACCAGCACATTGATAGCAATGAAAAAGTATGTGTGACCGTATTAATAAATACTAATATAGCAGGAAAGTTAGAGCCACTACTGATCTTGTTCAAATACATGAGGATGCCAGATGATTTGCCACCCACTGTTCCCAAAGCATGGGAGTTAGATAAATTAGAAAGCAGATGATAACTGGGACCTACTTTTATAAATAAAGGTCTATTCTGATTGTTTAGTAAAAAATCACATTTCTTTGCCTGTCCTTGTATTTGTAGATGGACACAAAGTATTTAACTTTTCAAACAAGCCAATACTGTCATCAAAAAGGAATAAAGTTGATAGCCAAGTACCTAAATGCAACCCATCTCATTCTGCCTAGTAGCTGTATTCAGTTTTTTAAAAGAGCATTGGAAAAACAAAGTCCGCAGTTGGAGGTTCGGCCGCATGGATGATCCCATTTAAATAAAAAATAAAAAATTCTCAGGTTTATTGAAAGAGGTTCTGGATAAGAATATAATACTTGAAATAATTCAGAACAGATTCATGAAAACTGGGTTTGTACCTTGGGATCTGATCTGATGTATAATATCATGACCAATGTCTCCTCAAAAGCACAGTACATAAAAGCAAGTTAAAAGTAACAGTGAAAGTAGTGGAACACTACATTGGGAAGGAAAAAGTGAAACATTTCAGCAAATGTTCCTCTTACCGCAAAAAGCCATTATCGCTTTTGAAACAAATTCAGGTAAAAACGTCAGGACGTGAAAAATGAATGGTGCAATACAAGTAAAAGGCAACGTACAAAAGAATTCTTCCTGACCGTTTCTGAACTCATGGAAAAACTAGCGAAATCACTGAAAAAATGCAGCGTTTTTCTCCTCCAGTTGGTGTAATTTGAAATGAAACAGTAGTGACAAGGTTAAGGTTTTAAAATTGATGAATTTATGCAAAAACTTTTTTTGCAACAATATATTAGTTTCGTACTTTTTACTTCTGGCATAATTTATCTCAAGTTAAAACCTTGTTTCTCATTCTCCTCATCAATTTCTCAAACTAGAGGCATGTATCCATTACTGATGCAAACAAGTATCCACTGCTGTTGTTCTTAAATTTTCAGTGTTCTATACTGAAACAAAAACAACTTTTTAAAATTAAATTGTTAAAAAACAATTCTTTTTCAAATCACGTTTTTGTGAATTGTGTTCAAAAAGAGGAATATATTTACCAAAGAACCCTCGAGTCAAAGCTTGAGAGTAGAGTAAACATTATCTTGGTGTCCACCTTATATAATGAATGATCTTGCAGCAATACCATTTTTTTCTTCAAATAAGTACTAAGGATGTAATGTACAATAGGTCTTTAAAATAGAAGTATGATGATGTATACAAATATTGATATATAAGTAATCCAGTTTAGCAAGAGCAATTTATATTTTTTTAAAATATAATTTGATGATTTTAATTAATCACTATCAATGTTTGTTATCAGTCTAAAATTCGTGAACTTGAAAAGAAGGCTGAACTCCAAAATGTACTGCACGAAGAGCTTGCACTGGAAATGGCGGCAATTAAGAGAAGTGCGGCGAAAGCAGCGAGTATGGCAGCCTCACAGCCGCAGGGGGCTACCTCACTGCCCCATTGCAACTGGGGCAAACACATGCAAGAAACGTCCATGTCACCAGATTCTATGATTTCGAGTTCAGGCAAGTTTCAAAATGTACAAATAACATTTTAACTTATATATTCATGAAATACATTATTTAAACTTGTTTTAATACTTCTTTCTTGATTCGTATGGTTATCTAGTGAGAAAGGAAGCATGATACGTTAAAACATAATTGTTAATAATACTAGAAACAATAAACGATACATAGTACGATAACAAAAACAAATCTTATTAAACCATTATCAATTTCAAACTTATCAGAGTTGTAAATAAAATGAAATAAATCTTTTTTTTAAATATCTATTCAATGAACATATAAAATGTATTTACAAATATTACATACAAAAAAATTTATTCTTAAATACCAAATTTTCAAAATGTTTAATAACTGCCGAAATTATACCTATTATTAAGCTGTTATGTACACAAAAATACGCAAGAATTGAAAAAAGTTATAGTACAATTGTTAATTATAAGTATATTACTTTAAAAAATAATTATACTACAAAAGACAGATAATTGTATAATTTGATAAGATATCAAGCTAGTTTGTTGAAAATAATCTACTCCAGGTAACACAGAAAATAATGAGAGAAAACACTATTTAATGTTAGTGGCTCCTAATTGCAAATAATTATACATGAGTTCGTTTTTTTGTTTTTTTTTAATTTTTTTTTAATTACAATATTTTAATTTTAGATATGAATAATCTAGAACAAACTATGCCGGCTACATGCAACTCACTCGATAATCATATAGAACAAAGATCTACATTGAAAAGACAACCGTACGGAGGTATTTTTTGTTGATATTTCTGTTTATTTTCCTTACTTTTTACTTCACTAGGCACAACAATAGTTTTCTTTCATATTTTATTTTTTCTTAATTTTTCAACACATCACGTAAAAACGTCACTGCTTTGGTTCCTATGATATAGAATTATTATTTCTACTTTATTACCTATAAACAAGCCCTAATTGATTGACCCTTATTTTTACCACTATTAACTCACTTAGTTTTAACCCTTAGTTGGATAATGATATTTCCACTTTAGTCGCAAAGTACATGACATTTTTTTTGTGATACATACTAAACACTATTGATAGTATTGAGCAACTATTCTAAACAAGAATATAAATTATTGAATGCTATAATTTTAATTGAATAAATTTGATAAAACATAAATCATACTTGTTTGTCAACATGAGATTTTAAAGTAAAATAAAATGTTTTAAATAAATTTTAAAAACAATGCTAGCTTTTAAATACTAAAATAAAATTCTAGATTGATTTGTCTGGTTAAAAAAAACAGCCCATCCTAATATTTTGGATATATGTTAAATTTTATTGTTTTCATTATGTTTTTAATTACACATAACTTTTGGTTATATTTTAAATGTATCTTGGTAATTATATGCCAGTACATAATTCACCCCCTCCCCACTAATACATCTACATCTACATCTATCTGCCAGTAAATATTAATTCAGAGGGACAAATTGATCTTTAGAATATTTGTATTAAGATTTAAATAAAATCTAAAATATACAAAACGAATGACAAAATAATTATAATATGCCCAGTATATGCTCGAACTTTCTCCAGCCCGGTAATCATTCATTATGGAAAGACGTAGAGACGATGAACAACTTAAGAAAATTTCTTACTTCATATTCTTTTTTGTTACACTTCATCTCTTCTGTGTGGTGAAGGACTGGAAGTGGTAGCAGCCCTTAAACAGCCCTGACAAGATGTCCCCAGACATTTTCAGTTACATTAGACTCGAGGTATCCATGGAGGATATGTACTAAGCATCACCACGGATAATAGGAAACACCTCGAATTTCAGGCTTTGAAGCATTTTCTTATATCTGTATACCAATCAGACTTTTGTGTATCACGTGTGCCTATCATTAGTGTTATGTATGAACTTATGTACACATATTCAGGATTTATTCCATGAAGGAAAACAATATGTTCATTCATACATCAACATAAGTAATGCACGTCATTAAAACAAGTAAGAAAAAATTATTAGGGTCTTAAAAAAATATCAAATGTATTCTATATAACAATATAATATATTCTACGGTTTTTCATTCTATCATTCTTAATATTATTGCACGTCAACAACTGGCTGACCCATTACAAACTTTCACATTGATTGTAATAACAAGACGAATTTCATAACTTTGTACCCAATTGGATTTGGGTATTATTTTTGCTTACTAACAACAAGTATGTTATCTTTTTGTCCCACCTCAAAGACAATATTTACTATTTCTATGGATTAAAATTTTACTGGCAATTAAGTAACTAAATTCAATTAAAATTTATCTGAAAATTTCATTTATGTTTTAAGAAAACTTAGTGAAAATACACAATTGTAATGTGTAGACAAAATACTAGGGTGGATTTGTCCGGTCTTTATTTTATTTTATTTTTTTAATTACATTCACACAAAAAAAATCATAACTGTTATTGAGACAGTTAATACCTTATTAACATTAAGCCAATATACATATTTTAATGATACAACTATAAATTCTATGTGATTCAAAGTATAGATGTATTAGAAGTAATACTGCAGGAAATAACATTATTTCATACAGTAAAATTTCAATGTATAGTTTAGATAGTTGTAGAACATCCATAATTAAATAAGACCAACGTTTCATCATGTGTGGCTTTATTATTAGATAAATCATAATATTGTAGTTCGTAATAAATTTATCATTGTATAATTTGTAGTATCAATTTAGCTTACATTTGTTTCTGTAATCAATTTTTAACATGTGCAATTGCATCTGAGATCAATATGTGTTGCTTCAAACATCCATTTATTATTACACTGAGAAATAATATTTTAAAGACTAACAAAAGTTGGTACCTTGCTCTTAAACTAATAAGTTCAAATTTTTAATTTTAATTTTTGTTCCAGCCTTTAAAAAATATCAAGGCATTTCTAAAAGTAAGAATTACATGGTATTTCCTGTGGATAGCAAATCCTAATACATTTGTACATAAGGATCTGTTAGAAATGATAGTTCATAGCAGAAGCCATGTATAGAAATGGATAGTGTTTGTAGTCTTTGTTTTGTGCATAAAATGTAAATACACTTTATAATAAAATAAGTTTCCTTTTGCACGTAATTTAGCACACTTAGTTCTATACACTAACCTTTCTTGCCACTAATAAACACATGCATTGGAACACTTAAAATACTGAAAATAGCATGATCCGAAAAAAAAATTATCCCCCATCATTTGTATTTTATTAATGAACACAAATATACCCAACATTAGCTTTTATTTATATTTTTCTAAAAAATATTACATACTTCTTACACAAAGAGATTGAAATTAAAATACTGCGATATGCAGATGTGGAATAATTGTGGCTTGTTTTGTGTACAGCTATAAAAGAAGTTTATATTTTTTTCCACTGGCTGTAGTGAGGCATTAATTGACAAATCATGCAACCTAGCATAAAATCTGCCATAAACACAGTTATTGCCAAACATATGCTTGCATTGAAGCATGGATAGCTAGGCTTTTGTTAATTCACAAAATTGACATTACCACAAAATTAAACCAAAAGCAAACAACATCGCAATGAGTAACGACCGAAGTTTCATAAACCTTCAAAACATGCAAAAAAGTGTAATAAAGGTAAAAATTCTCATTTAACATAGTAACAATTATTGTGTATTAAATACTGTTTATGATGTGATTGTTTATTTTATAATCAATCGATTACTCATTTTAAAACACAATATATTTAAATGTACAATTAAATTTTTAAAATATGCCACCAGAAAAAGACAATAAAGTGAATTTTAAAGTTTATAAACTGCGGCAGCTTCTCCTCGCCAGTACCCCTGCTTCATATAGCCATCCCGGATTGACAGCATGGCTGATGTGCGGTTGCACAAGGCCAAAAAAAAGTTTATAAACTATGCATAAAAGAAGAAATATGCAATATTAAAAAATTAATAGCAATAAAGTACTAATTAAATTTTTCATTGTACATTAACACCACATAAATCGCTTTGCTATTTTTTTTCTGTCAGGTTATAAATAATTGCGTTTTTTTTTTTTTTTTTTTTTTTTTTTTTTTTTTTAAATTGCCATCTGTCTTTGGTTTTGTGTAGGTACTAAGAACTTAATAGGCATTATAATTTTTTGCATGGTCCTACTTTGTTTCCCAAGCCGAAGAAAGGCTTAAAAGTTAAAAGTAAGAAATATGGAAGTGATGAAACAGATCGGATCGGTGGATGTCAAACGTACACAAATTTATGCTGAACTGACATAGGGTCACTTGTTGGGTCCATCTTCACTCATGGGTTTGTCAAATGCTCAAACACATTTTGGCATTGCGCCACCTTCAGTGAGGAACTTCCTACTGGAAAAGAAAGGAAGTTCCTCACTGAAGATGGTACAATGCTGAAATGTGTTTGATTAATTCAAAAACCCACGAGTGAAGATGGACGATGTAAGTGACCTGATGCTGGTTCAGCATGAGTCCACCCATCATCAATAAAAAAAATCTTGTCATCGGAAGTTGAAAACTAACAAAGAATAATGTTTATTTTAAAAAAAGTATTCTGTTTTAGTTTCATTGCAATCGGAGTTAGCAATAAAAAGATGCAATTGCACCGAAATCTGGTCTTTAGTAATGAGTATATAAGGATTAAAAATAAATACATATTCACAGCTTTGAATAAAATTTTATTTACAAACAAATTTAAAAAACTCTGGAATTATGAGTTTCAAGAAGTTATATATCAACAATGAACTAACACAGTGCAAATTAATAGTTTCGAACAGTTAAACAATGGTTAATATTTTTTTTAAATATATTCATAAGTATTAATGTAAGAAGTGCCTCCTTGGTCTTAATTTGATATTTGTTTATTACACACAAACATTTTACATCCCTAATTCAATTTCATATCTTTTCTCATACTTTTTTGTTTCAATAAACACTAATTCTACCTTGCAAATATATTTAAGAAAGTGTGTGACTTGTGTGTGTCTGTGTGCGCGCGGGTGTGTGTGTCTGTGTGCGCGCAGGTGTGTGTGTTGTGTGCGCGCGGGTGTGTGTGTCTATGTGCGCAGGTGTGTGTGTGTGTGTGTGTGTGTGTGTGTGTGTGTGTGTGTGNGTGTGTGTGTGTGTGCGCGTGCGTGCGTGCATGCGTGCGTGCGTGCGTGCGTGTGTGTGTGTGTGTGTGTGTGAATGACATTAATTATTTTCACCAGCTGTTTGTCAACTTCTTGCTTTTTTAGAATTAACTATTGTTCCCTATAATGGCATTTCAATTGTTAATTACTCTCGCTGATTTACTTTCACTAACATATTTTCTGATATAATTTGCACATAATCTATTTTGGTGTATTTACAAGCATGAAAGTAAATTTTATTATTATTATTACTATTTTCAATATAATTTATGATAACTTTTAATATTAGAATTTTGATATAATTTGATATATTTGAAAAAAAAATACTAGTTCCTTTGTCAAGCTTTCGAGGAATATATCACCTTCTTCAGGATTTGAAACTATTATTAATAATTTGAATTTAATAATTTAAAAATTTAATAATTAATTATTAATAATTCACAAAGTTAACAATGTGAACATCTACCTACAGTGGTGAAACTTATGGTTTCAAACATAATGAATTTCTGAGTTGATCCCTTCTATATCGGAATTGTACAATTGAACATTTACTTTCTCAATTAGGGTAAAATATGTAAATAGAAAACAATAAAAAAATCATAAAATGATTTTATGTTGTGGAAGTTCATATCAAATAAAAATATATCAAAGATAAATGAACATACAATATTAATTTTTTAAGGGGGGGAAACGTGAATTCCAATTGGTTATGTTTAAAAGTATGATTAAAAAATTTCTTCATAACCAGGCAAATCATTTCTTATTATCAAAATATATTTTATTTATTTAATATCAAGTTACACTAATCAGTCCAACTTATGACACAATTATTATAATTTTAATAAAGGACATTCACATTGACAACTTCACCTGTTTCTAGTTTCAACTCTTCTTCTCTTCTTATTGTTGTCTTGGCCAGCAGCAGCGCTCAAAAATTCAGCTCTCACTCTTAGCCCCTTAAGCATAAATTTAAATGTTAATTTAAATATTATCGTTTAACAGTTGCATCAACTGCTCAACAACCCGCTGTTGCAAATGAGGTGTTACATTTGCACCCTCAGCAAAACATTACCTCGGAGATTGACTCCATCATGGAAAAAATTGATCACGACAATCGAATTCTTGCAGAGTTGGATAAAAGCAGGTTTACCATAGGTAGGTTTTGTACATAATGTTTCTTAAATTTTTTGTTATTTAAAGCACATTGAACAATTGGCATAGAAAGCTGCAAAACTGTTGATATTTAATAGCCACTATGTTATCAAGTTTGTCGTGTTATGCATTTGAAATGTTTTCTATCTAAACATGACATATACTGGAATTTTTTTACTATGTAATTTGCTTTCAACACAATTTTTCATTAAATGCAAAACATCTTACTGAATTTATAAGCTTGAAATAATGCGATATATAGCATGTATGCAGCAAGAATTGGTGATGTGCTTAATAAGTTGGAAGTACATAAATAGTGCATTCTAATTAGTCCAAAACCTACCTGAAGATAATAATAAAAAAAAATTTATTTTCTTTTGATTTGTATGGGAACAAATCACCTAAAAGATTCCAAAATCTTCAATTGAGAACCTAAAGCAAAATTATTTATCATCCATGTTTCTGTTTCAAGAGAAACATTTTTTGATTATAGTTACATTAAATCTTAAAATTCTAAATTTGAATTTCTACAATGCAGTTAGATCATTTAATTAAAACCAAAGAAGACAACTGTAATAATTCATTAAACATTTACTATTGTTATAATAAGTTTTTTGTGGGTTGCACAAAATTGCATAAAACTTATCTTTATAGTTTTATTTTACATTACTTTCTTTTGTATAGCAATAAATTATATAGCAATTGTGTCACATGGCAAATCTCAAATCTCCGTTCTAAACAGATCCTTAAATTTTGGTCCTAACAGGGAGGTATATTAAATAAAGCAAGACAATTAAATTTACTTGTTAAGAATAGTGGCAGCGTTAGTGTGCCAGAACGGCATAGAAGATGGTCATCCACACCCGATTGAGGATAGCCATGCGAGGTGGACACACGGACAGTTTTGGGCCAAAACCAGCCTATGTATGTCCGGCATGTAGAGACAAGTTGTTCACTATGTCCCACCAAAATTGGAAGGTTCAATCCCATGGAATGCCACCCAGTATGAGAATCTTGCTTGAGCATAGCAGCTAGTTTAGCTTGGGGGGGGTTACACTGTTCCAAAGTTTGGAGAAAGCAGGATTGTTTTATTATTATTTTTTTTTTCTGGAGGATTTCCCTCCTGAGCACTGCAACTGTACAGCTTATTGTACTTTATCCCTGGCTCCATTTTTTGGGGGGCTCACAACACAAGTGTGAATTTGAGTCCCCGGTGTGCCGGTGTTCTTCCATCGAAGAAACTCATTTTTGAAGGGGGTTGGGATCAAATTCAGAGTCACTGAGATCTGATCCCACTCCTTCCATTGATGAGTGGCGTGTCAATTTCTTTCAATTGCGGCAACCAGTCCCTGTAGGCGTCAAAAAAAGTCCAGAGGCGACGGTGGGGATCGAACGGCATCTACTAGCAGAGAGTCTGACACCTTAACCACTCGGCTACCGTGGCCCCCTTATTTAGTATTGAAATATATATTATTTTGTGTCCTCTAGTGTGTGTTGATAATGAATGTATTTATTGGGGTGAATGTGTAGTACTAGAGGGTCGATGATGGAATATTGACTATCCCATTCTCAATTACTCAGTTTCGTAATATATGTGGATGGTGATGGAGGAATATTCAAGTACTCCACTACCACAATTGAGTGAACGCTAAAAATATATTATAAAAAAGAATATATTTAAGAGTGAGTTAGAGAGTGGATTTGTTTAGGAACTGATTGAGGGTGTGACCCCGGACTGCCAACACCTGGGGTGGGTCTTGAGGCCTGCCAATAGTTTATTGTACTTACAAACACTGGTCTGGTGGACTGTGAGAAGTGATAGGCTCAACTTTTTTTCTTTTTTAACGAGGGTATTTCAACTACGAGGTTATACGAGCCCTCAGGGTGCCAGTGTTTTTGAAAAAAAAGCCCATTTGTAAGTATGTCAGGTTCAAATGCAGAGCTGCTGGATTTGAACCCAGGTCCTTTACCTTACAGTGATGAGCGCCGTGTCAGCTCCTAAACCGTTGTGGCCCCCGACGCCCTAGGCTCAACTTTGCAGTACATGTATGTCCAGATTTAAGCTTATATAAATCAGTAATCAGTTGTTAAGAGTATGTTTTTCTCCCTTTGGCAGAATTGGTTAAGCAGGGTTTTTCTTTTTCGCACAATTATTTTGGGTGAATATTACTAAAATGCTTTCTCATTCAGCAAATTTACTGAATAGAAATAGCTATTGATTCTAAGTTATTCAGGTATCAACAGTCAATTATGCTCCTCCTGATCTAATCACAGAGTCAGCTAAAATTCTCCTGATGAAGAATGATGATTTTGTTTCACAGCTATGTCGAAAACAAAAACTAAAATTTAACAAGCTTCAATAACTGAATATAATGTGTACACTACTGGACACAATCCTGTAGAATTACCTTTCAGCATCAGAACATTTCATATAACTATGATGTATAAATATAAATCAAAAGATGTGATGTGATCAAACATTATTATATTGGCGTACCAGTGTTATATTTGTGGACATTGTATAGAGGCTTGAGACAATGATTCTTTTTTGGTGGGGTAGCTGAGTTTGATTTTTGTTTCTTTTAAAGTTATTGTTTTATTCTTGTTACTAACAACCTATCGATAAATATTTCTTGATATCCATTGTAGCTTGTAATTATTTTTTATAATTAGCAGATGTTAATAGGATTTTCAACATATAGTCTAGCCAAATGAACCCAGCAGCTTTTTGGTCCTTGGGTGAGAAGAAACTGTTGGTATTATGGTGTCTGTAGTTGTGGGTTTTCTATATACCTCGATTTCAATTAGGTTGTTTAATATTGACAGTTTTAAGTTTAAAAACTTTAAACAATTATTTTATTTATTTCCAATGTAAAATTTATATTAGAGTGTAAAGGACTAATTGATTAGAGGATTTTTTTTAGATTCTCTAGTGTTCCCGACCATATACATAAAATATCGTCGACATAGTATTTCCAAAAAAGAACCAATTTTATTAATTTGTTATTTAATTTGAAAAGAATTTTTTCAAAGTAATCCATTATGATTTGTTAATTTTAATTAAGAATAATTATGTTGGCACTGGCCATTAAGATGGCTTTGCACCAGCTGGGCATTCGACAGATTCAGGCAGTGTTAGCCGGTTTTCCATAGCTTAAGGTTGGTGAGATTTGTCTTGTAAATATTGTATTTTCTTCGTGTATCAAAGTTTTGCCAATATGTTTGCTGGGTTATATTCAGTAAATACAATTGTTTGTGTGTATTAATTACATTTGATTTGTTTTTATTTATTTTGTTACGGATATATTATAAACCCTATAATTTTTATTATATAAAAATATACCCTATAATAGTAATGTAGTAATACTATTATTATTCATACAATATTACTATATTATTCAATACGTCTCAATCTTATTTTCATTAAGACTTGATCCTATCCGCGATAACATTAATACTTCGGCACAAAGTGGGGATAATGGAGACCCCGAGTTCTCTGTAAGTTTTTGCTTTATTAGTTTAGTACATTCTTTAACAGGGATATTTGTAAATAAATTAGTATTTTTTCTCTTTATTAAAATGAATGCATTTCGGGCAATTCCAATAACACCTCTTCAGCTGACAATGTTTCAGCTTACATTCGACAAACATGGAATGAACCCTCCAGTTTTTGAAGAAGGAAGAGGCAAAATCAGAAAATTCATGTTTGTGTTATCAATATCATTTGCTTGGCTCTTGTTCACCCGGTTTTTAATGTTCCAACTTTTCACACACAAAGTTACATTTAAAAAAAAATCTGTTGTCAACATGATTCTACATTAATATTTACAGATAAATTATGAAATGACTGTTCTTATATTTGGTTTATGTGAGTGTTTATGTGCGCAAGATGTGTGTTGTGTTGCGTCAAATGAATCTAATATTTTCATTTAATAAAGTAATATAAATAAAATTAAAAGCAATAAAAACGTACAAAAAACTTGCTACTTTATTGTACAAACACATCTTGGATTTTTAATCGCACAACTTTTTTTTTCTTATCTGCTACAACTTAAATCGACATTAATATTTGACTATAAAGCGATTCATATTTAAACATTAATAATTTAATCAAAATATATACCAATGTAAAACACATTGTATTCTCCTTTAATTGATCTTTGTATTATTACTTTAATTAAAGTAATATGTTTACCTTTACTGCGCCAGCATTCCACACTGCAATTTCTGTTCAGATCAAACCCATATTGTTCCATAACACAAAGTTAAAGATCCAGTCCCACTTGTTTTAGCATAAGTCTGATTTGTTATTCACTTTTAACACACACATTAAACACTACAAAAAATATTGTCATTCCATGACTGTTGTAGCGTAATTATTCTTAAAAACTTTAAGGATAAAATGTTTTGCTATAGACAAAATGTAGGCGTAAGAGTTTTTGATTTAGTATAAGAAAATAGGAACGAACATTAGTACAATGTAGAAAATATATTGTCTTTATAGGATTAGTTAGGGTTGACTTGGCTTGCCAATACTTTAGTGCATGCGTTAAGCTTCAATAGCTCAATGAATTGTAAATAATAATCAAATTGTAACAATAAATTGTGACATTTAAACATTTTGTTTAATTCCTCTTTAAAAGTTAGTTTCATTTAGTATATTGTTTCATTTAAGTATTTTCACTATGTCTCAGGCTTAATTGCTTTTATTGTGTATGTTTTATTATCTATTAATTTATGAGGTTGTAAGACATTGTAACACTGAAAAGTCGATGGACTATACAATCACTAGAGAAAAATAATCATGCTTTAAAGTAGCGACAATTCATCTCATTTTAAGAATTTAAATTTATAATGGCCATTTGATTTTCATACATGTATGCAATTAAAAACTGGAACATTTCAGCATGTTCATTGATTTTCTTTGGCTCGAATACAACTTATATTTATAATATTTATAAAACATGTATAATTGTAATTAATATATATTGACATTGTTTGAGTCATGTAGGAAATGCTTTTCAAGTTTTTTGCATCTGGAAAGTAATTTCTTTTTCGATAACATAATTAAGTTAATATAGCACATATGTATAATGCATGGTACTAATAAAAATGCAACACTGCAAAGCTTAAGCCTATTTATCTCGGTATTGCTGTTCTATTATTATACCAGCAGAGTTGAGTTAAATATAGGCCTTATTTTTTAGCAAACTTTTGTATTTAAAAAAAAAAATTGAAATTAAAAGGATTAAAAGGAGAAAATGCATTGCAAGGTTTGTATTTACTAAAATAGTATGCTGAAGAATTATTATACACTTGCTGTAAAGCAATTGAACTGTTTAAATCTTAAGTACATAATAATTATTTTATTGTTAATTGTTTAATAACTACTTCATTTTTGTTTTTAATAATTAATATTACAGAAACCATGTTAATGTTCAAGAAAGATGAAGCACGTGTAGAAATTTAAATCGAGAAATGACATTACAGTAGATTATTAATAATTTGTAATTCTATTTCATTCATGGTTATAAAAATAAAATTCGATCTGAGATTATGTAGCCCTCCATGTAAATCATATTCTATTGGTTCATTCTTCTGTTTAAAATTAAATTTACATATGGCATTATTATAATGTAATCTTTCAGGTAAAAATTTTATACTACTTGTGAAGAAAGACAGGCTAAAGGTAGAAAAAAATTCATTTTGTTTATAAAAAAAAAACTTTTATATTAAAATATTTTTGCATAATAAATTCTAATCTATCAGGTAACCAGAAAAGTTCATGCTGTTTTTAATTTGTTACTGTTTTAATGCCATTAATCAACATTTGTATATCAATAGGAGGATTAGGTGTTTACGTCATAATACCAAGAGGATAGTGCGTCAGTTCTTTAAAGAAAAAGTGTCGAACAGTTCGCTGTCAGTTCTAAAATATTTTCTTTCTTGTGGCTTCAAAGCCCTAATTCGTAAATCCTTACATGAATTTCAGCTCAGTACTATGGTGGCCGAGGTAGCTTGTAAAATTTGCGCTGCATTCGGTGATGAAACAAGATGTGAGCGCACTGCCCAAAAATAGTTCAAAAAATTTGCCTCTGGGAATGAGGAGATTGAAGATGAAACATGGACTTGAATGATGATAATTTGAGGGAAGCTGTCGAACTTAATTCATGTCAAACATGTCAGGAGCTTGCCAGCGTGTTCAATGTAAGATAGGAAACCATTCGCTCTAGCTTCAACTTGAGAAGAGGTGGAAGCTGAACAAATGGGTTCCTCATTAATTGACCAACAGTAACAAGCTTCAGGCTCTAAACATTAGCCTTTCATTGCTTTAACAGCACACCAACACGAAGTGCCCTGTCCCATTGAAGCAAAAACCAAATATGCACCCAGTTTGGTGGAGTATTTGGACTTTTTGAACCACTTTTGGATATGCTCACTTATTGTTTCATAACCAAACACAATGCAAATGTTTATGTGCTCTGCTGCCCTAGTAACAAGTAAAATTCATACAATAAGCATGCACGAATTATTATTTTTAAGCCATGAGAAAGAAAGTATTTTATAATTCACATAACAAACACCTATTCCTTCTATGTAAATGTACATTAACAGTATTAAAACTATAAAAAATGAACAACCATACAAACTTTTCTGATTACTTGGTGCATTATATTATATTATATATATATATATATAGAACAAATTGCCTCTGATTTTGTCATTCTGTCCATAATTTTGTTTAATCATGAATTATCAATTCGGTTTCAAATAGAACAATGAAGAAAGCAACAAAAATATCAATTAATATAAATTTAAGAAGGTTACAATTTAATAAATATTAGTTTTAGTATTTTGTTTTAGTTTTAAAAAACTAAAAAACTAGTAATTTGAAATACTTGGTTACACAAGTCAATTAAAAACCTTGTAAAAAATTTAATATTTACTATTATATTTCTATATTACTATTATATATTATTAATATTATATTTCAAACATTATATATTTTTTTTACTCTTTGTCAATTAGTAGATTTACAAGCACAATCTGATGATGCTTATGTAAAACGAACTTGTAAAAATAAGTATTCACTCGATTTTATATTTTTGAGAACTTTCACGACTTTGAAAAGCTCTGCAGTCATCGTTGACTTTCAGACCATTTGTGTAACCATGATGGAATTATATTATTAAAAAATTTCAATTTCAAAAATAGTCTTGTAATGCGAACAATTGGAGGGTTAAGACGATAAATTTGGAAAATAGTGTAAATCGGTAGCACAGAAACTTTATTAGATCAAATATTGGTTGGAAAATTATTAAGGTTAATCTAGAAGACAGAACTGAATAAAACAACGTTTAATTCATAAATAATCTGGATCTCGGTATGGTCTGGATGAAAAAACAAATTCGGTTTTTATTTGCCAAGCTTTCGATCTATTTTGAGGTTATCATCAAGGTAAAACAATCTTGAAGATGTCTACAAATTGATATAATTAGGTTTTTAATAAATGGTTTCAACTTTCCATAAACGACTCAGCCCCTACACTATTAAATGTGTTACATAACTAACTGTATCAATTGATGACCAAAGTTAGAGGGCATCAATGCACCAAATAAAAACTTCAAAACAATCGTTTCACCAGCAGTATATTTCTTGCATCTTCAGGTTTTCCGGTTAGACTTGATTAGACCTTTATTTCCACCACTTGTCAGAAAATAAGGTCTAACTTTACTTTTGGTCATCATTACCCAAATCCTCATCATCTTTCTTCTTCATATGTTTATGTATGTCTATCATAAAAAAAATGTGAAACCATCTATTAAAAACTTGATTATGTTAATTTATAGACATCTTTAAGATTGTTTTGCCTTGATGATGACCTTAAAATAGTTCAAAATCTTGGCAGATAACTATTGAATTTGTGTTTTCATCCAGACCATAACGAGATCCAGATTATTCGTGACCAAAATTGTGGTCTACGACTTTAAACAATGTTTAATTCATAACTATTATCAATAAATACAGAACAGATACATTTAGAAATATATCTGAATATATAATGTAGTATATGATTATATAGAATTATGTAGAAACCAGTATGGTTTATATCTTTATTTACCTATGCAAGTTGAATGTTTTCCAATTTCCAGTTTTGTTTTTTATTTTTTATCTGTTCTACTAGCAACATCAGCATTCGGTCCTTCTGTCTATCTGATTTACCTTTTAAACAATTTTCTATTAAAAAAAAAAAAAAAAAAAAAAAAAAAATACAGTGAATGTGTATATCGCCTTAGATAGCCAATGTTTTGTAGGATTTGGTATCATCATTAAAAAAATAGTTTCAGTTTAATGTTTCTCATTCCACTGTTGTACCTATCATGAGTTATTTCTAAAGGAAACATAACACCATCAGATAGCGCGATGTAGATGTTTTGTCGTGTGTAGGACAGAGTGGGGTAACAAGCAGACAGCTTCCCGTTCAGCCAAAGATGAACACATCAACCCTCACAAGCCATACAACTACCTCTAATGTTAATCAATCAAGTGAGTCACTTTATTTGACTTATATTGTAGTAATTTACTTTTTTTTCGCTAAGAATACAGGCTGTTTTCTTTTGTTTTTTAATATGACTTTTTGTATAAGTAATGCTTATTTTAATTACTTTTTTTGATATTTATTGTATATATTGTATTGTTAATACAATTTTTTTATGTTTCACAAAGAAAATAATATAAAATGCTTGTTATTAATTTATGGCGATCCAAAGTAAGCAGTTAGTAATAAAAAATGTAATTATTATTATTACCCTGGGATAAAAGGAATGGTTTCAGTTTGTAGTTTTGCTTCCACTCAGAGAAGGAATGTAGATATTAGTTTTTAAATAAAAATTATAGATATATTTTACAGATATATATATTTTTCTGTGAGTGTTATATTATATAACTAGTTATTCAGATATCGTGAGATGCGGTCGGGTGTCGCATCTCACGATATCTGAATAACTATCGATTAACGGTCACTAATCTCTACACATATTATATAACATTATATAATTTTAGCATTTAAAATACGTTTTACGTATAAGTGATATCAATATCAAAAAGATGTATTCAATTTACAAATGTTAGAGAGTAAAAAAACCATTATAATGATCATCAGCTATCGTTTGTTTAGAATTAATTAATACATGAGAATATTTAAGATTATAGACAATGTTACAAGTTTTGCATTTAAGTTCTGGTTGTTTTATACAATGGGTTCAGTACAATGGGTTCTTCTTTTTTTTCTCTTTTTTTTAACTGTCTTATATTGTAAAAAGACATGCAAAACTTCACTGAATTGTCGGTTCTTTCCTTATTAAATAAAGATAATAAAATGTCATCTTAACTTTTCTAAGCTTGTTGTACTCTCATTGGAGAGATACTATGAACTGGAGCGTCTCGGCAAAATGGTGGTTGCTGTCTGGGGTCTGAAGGGCAACAAAAAGGTAGACAAGGCGGCTAAGTCCGTGATGTCCCAATCTCCAGACATAACCATCATGATTCACCGTCAGACATTAAAAATGCATTAAAAAACATTATTGAAAGAAAGTGGTGTTGATAGGCCGGATCATCAGAGATGCTCTCATGAATCAAGAGCTGTATCGATAGATGGCCCTCAGAGGATCTTATGTGTAGAAGAAGGGTCACATCACCCAATTAAGGATAGGGCATGCGAGGTTGACACACAGGCACTGACTTTTGGGTCTGTGTGTGTTTCTGGTATGTAGAGAAAGGTTGCTTGATGTCCCAGTTAATTGAATGGTACAATTCCTTGGCTCCATATAAAGAACATGTAGGAATGGCACTCGATATGATAATTGTCCTTGAGATATGAGTTTGACAGCAAGTATCCTTGTGTGTGTTGAGTGTGAATGTATTTATTAGTGCGAATGTGTACTGTGAGTGGGTTAATGGTGGAATATTGAGTACCCCATCGACCTTCAATTAGGTTAGTTATATATAATAGGTATAAAAAGTGATGGAGGATATCGAATAATTCATCACCCTAACTGAGTAAGTGGTTGTATAAATGGGAAAGAATATAATTAAGAGTGAATGGGTTTGGATTGAGACTGATTGCATTGGGTGCTGAAATGACCTAGCTGTCGATGGCCCCTGGAGCCTAACCTTGGTGGCTGGATGGAAAAGTCTGAGGTCTAATCCTGGACTGCCAACAACCAGGTTGGGTGATTCTCGAGTCCTGCCGGTAATTTATTGTAAATTACAAAACCTGGAATTGCCGTTGGACTGCAAGAAGGGACAGGCTCAATTCTGTACATGCAAGTATTTATGAGCTTATATAATTCAAATAATTAACTTTTGACTGAACAGATATTACATAAATCTTCTTTACCATTCTGTCTGAAACTAAGTACTAAATGTTTAATTAATGTTAAAATAAACATTTTTAGTAATACAGCATTAGGAATGTTGCAGCACATTTAGTTCACACGTTGACTAAATTGCTAATTTAAATACACAAAATTAATAACAAAATGATAGGTTTCACTGCTCTGCTGGTAATTCTTAGCATGTTCAGTAATTGCAAATAGTTCATATATGGTGTGCACTCTCACTTTATTAAATTTATGTACTATATATGTATACTGAATTGGCGTAACTTTAATTTATTTTCTAGTAATGTCCATGTATTAAATATTTTTATAATATTAATTTTTATCAAAAAATCTGTTAATGTCCAGTTTTAACATTGATCAAGTGTTTTTTTTTTAATTTTCCGATGGCTTGTATGGGAGGACAGAGCGATTAAGATTAGGATAAAATGCTTCTAATATTTTACAACTACCTTGTAATAGTTGCTGATTTTTCTCTAACCTAGCAAGCCATGATAAATAGATTAATTAATTACTGTGCAAAATGGGGTCTCATTTACAAATAATGAAAAATATAAAATTATGAATTTTAGGAATGGTTGGAAAATTAGATTTAAAAAAAGCTGGTCATAAATAGTAAATCAGTCAAGGTAATCAACAGGAACAAATACTTAGGAAAATTGCTAACCCCACATCTATCACTAAGCAAATATTTTAAAGGAAAAAAGTACTATCTGGAAATATCTTTTAACTCAGCAGGAAGTAATGCACTAAACCAAGGATTAAAAAAAAAAAAAAAACGCAAACCCAAAGAGTCAACATACAACTACTTCATACAGAAGCTTTTTTATGTTCCTAGATGTAGATTTAAAATTCTAGGAATTTGACATATTGTGCCCTTTGAGAGCTATTGTATCCCCTGTTCGGTACCTGTAGAACACAGTTAGATGTAGATGTATTAGTCGGGATGTAATATACTGCGCCCTTTAAGAGCTATTGTATCCCCTGTTCTGTGCCTATAGCACATTGGTGAGTCCTATTTCATCAAGGAATTTGATTAGTAGTTCTGGTTTCAGTGGTTGAATTTCTTCTACGGTTACATTGTTCGTCCCAAAGCACTTCCCGCCTCCTCCACAGTTTGTTAATAGGTGTGTTGGTGACTCATCTGCTTCATGGATTATACCAATCATCTATAAATTTCCGTTTAGTTTGCAGTGTCCTGTTAAGAATCCTGTTAGGATTCAGTTTTTTCCTGCTTCCTTTGATTGATACTTTCTACTACTTCTTTCCTTCCGATATTTGTTAGGAGGTTAGGACTATGTCATTCACATAGCCTTAACACTTTATCCCTTTGTGGTCCCGGGTTTCGAGCAGTTCATCAACTGTTAGGCTCCATAGAAGAGGTGACAGTACCCCTTCTTGAAGACATCCTTTGGTTGTGCAGTGACATCCTAGCTATTACTGCCAAGGCAGCCCTAGCATGGTGGATGTTCACCTGGGCCATTCTCATTTTCTCCATGCTAGTTTATTCTTTTGAGAAGGAGGAGGTGTCTCCTCACCCAATAGCTCCACCTTGGTGTACATTCTCGTCTCTTTCTGTAGAGGAGGGAGGTCTGGGTTCCCAGGATGGCCTGGTCAACTTCCATCTTGGAATTGGTTTATCTGTTAATACTGTCATTCAGATATCATTATTATTAACTTTTCTAGTTTTTAAATAGAAAAGATGTTAAACTAATCAGTCTGTAATTTAGAAAAGTCTGTCTTTCCTATCTTTAAATGATGATGAGTCATGAAACAGATTCAGCATATTTGAAGACGTGTTCAATGCATTAAATTTTTCTAAAAAATATGTTTGACTGCCCTGGATCTTTCTCGAAAACAATTCTACCAGATAGCTATCAGATAGGCATATATAAAGCAATCAATAGCTTTACATAAATTTCATAAATATGTTTTAGATATAGGAGACTTAATAGACGATGGCCTAGAGACTTCCTTGCTCCTTAATCCCTCAAGCTGAGTGCCAGCATTGGCTGCTTTCTCATGGCATGTCTTCTTCAGGTGCAGTGCTGGCATTAGTGTTAGTGTTGTGACCGTGTGAAAATACGGTTTGGGATCACATTGGTCATACATGTACTAATACGTAAAGGATATAAATGACATCATTTTTTAAAAAATTAGGATATGAGAAGAGATAAAATGTATAATATTTACTTGAATGAACACGCTTTTTATTATTATATTTTTAATGTTGATATTTCTTTAATAAACATAGATTATCACCAAGTTAATTAAGTTAATTAAACCTGGAAGATGACATAAATTAAATGTAATATCTTAACTTTAATTTCTATACCTAGGAATAATTTTATGTGTACTATGCGTTTTTTTTTTTTTTTTTAATTATTCTACTAATTTATTATTTCAGTTTTAGAAATATGATAGATTATGGGTCATATTTCATACAAGATATCGATACCAAATTTCAGCCGATAAATAAATAAACATGTAAATATTAAGCCAAAATTTTTTTATATATGTTTTGTGTCAACAATATTGATGGCAAAATATTCTTAGTACTCTGCCTGTCGTGATAATTCAAAAAAAGAAAGGCTTTTTTATCTTTTTTTTTTTTTTTTTTTTTAAATTGTTAGTTTCTCATTGAAAAACTGGAAAGAAAATGTCTAAAATTTATTGTTGCCAGTAATTAAATAAATAATATACCTTTAGTACATCCAAAAAATATATAACTTCCGTAAACAATGGAGATAAGTTTTATATAAATATGTACATTTTATGTTCAATTATACTTTCACAACTAATTGTAAAAATTCTACTAATAATTAAAAATTATTATTGATATTCCCTTCAAAGAGCCTACAACAATAACTAGTGATTAATAAAAAATAAGGGGCGTCGGTGGCTGCAACGGTTTAGGCGTTGACACGGTGCTCATCACTGTAATGTAAAGGTCCCGGGTTCGAATGCAGGGCCGCTGGATTCGAACCCGACATACAAATGGGCTTTTTTCAAAAACACCGGCACCTTGAGGGTTGATATAACCTATGTTGCAAACCCTCGTTAAATAAATAAAAAATAATAATAAAAATAAATACTTTAAAAATATGGTGAGAATTAAACCTGGAAATGCTTTGTTGGCACAATTGTTTATCAATTAAAAAAATGGCAGTTATATTTGTTTACGATCTAATATCTAAATTAAACACTTTTAATTCATCTTAGCGACTTGACAAGATAATTAACGTAGCATATATCACAATGATTACTGCAAACAGCTGCTTTGCTTTTGTGGCATCTTAAACCATAGGTCAACATGCACAAGATGTTAACAATTAATTTTTTTAAAGATCTCATGTGGTAAGTGAGTGAGACACTCTCAAATATATACAACTTCAATAATTTATTTAATAATAATAATTTTCTTATTTATGAAATCTAAATCAGATGAAATTGTTTTCAGCTACATTACCTGTGAGTGGGTTGACAAATGTAACTGATACCCTTAGTCGACATGGATTACCAGGGACCATTACAACAGTAGACGGAACTACTTTTCTTGTGCCTGGAACTACTCTCCTTGGACAGGGAATTCCAACAGGGGTAACTACAATTTTAAAATGTGCCCTATTTCGTTATGATAATTATAATTAATTTCGTTTTTCTAGAATCCAACCATGGTTAACACATATCCTATTGTTCTGGGTACGAGTGTTAACACAAATCCCCTACGAGGTCAACATATGATGGTGCATTCTCAGCCAAGAATGATGCCACAAATTCCTACTATAATACCACAGTTTGATATTGATAGTGAGTACTGCTGAATGCTTATTTTTATGCATTGCATATTTAAAAAATATAATACAGTAGAACTCGAATTATCCAAATACATTCGGTACGCCAATTATCTGAATTTAAGTGTTAGATGTATTGACCACTTTTTTACTCATGAATAATCTGAATCACGGTATGATCTTGATGAAAAAATAAATTCAAGTGTTACTTCTAAGCTTTCGACCCTTTTTAAGGTCATCATCAGGGCAAAACAATCTTAAATATGTCTACAAATTGACTTAATTTAATAGACGATTTCTTTGAAGAAATAAGTTGAGCACTATCCTCACTGCTAGTACCAACATTGCCAAGGGCTTTTTAGATCAAAAAACTTGAAAAAGGTCAACAGTTTGCCAGTAGCAATTGAATTTTATTTTCCATCAAGACTATGGTCGTGATTCAGATTATTTGTGAATTATCTGGATCACCTTGAGAAACAAAATTGAAATTTAAAAGGAGAAATTAATACATAAGACAGAGTTGAGTGACTTATTGAAACCCATATAAACCCATTATATAATTAATTTTTTTTTTAAATCTGTATATTGTAAGTCAGTTCTTTCCCCAACAATATACATAGTATGTAATTTTTTTTTTTTGTAATTTTGCATACAAAAATATCGGTTTTTTTTTTTTTTTTTAGAAGAAATCCAATTATCTGGATATTTGGTTAACCGCACCTGGTCCAATCCCAATTAATCCGGATAATTAGAGTTCTACTGTATTTGTATGCATGCCAGGTGGGGGGGATAATTTGTTTTTTATTGTGTGTGTTTTCTGGCATTGAATATGCACGATTCATTTTAGGGATGTACGGTACATTTCCTGACCAGCACCTAACATTAGGACAAGACTCGAAAATGGTTGACATGTTGGACATCCCTGGAAAAGGAAGATGTTACGTTTATATCGCAAGGTACAAGCAAACAAAATACACTTGTTCACACGTTTACAATCACAGAATTGCTCGTGAAATTTTATTCCAAAATAATTCGAAAAAAAATTGCAGTTAGACATAATGTTATACTCTACCCTCCCTTATAATTACTATGTCTTATTTGAAATTCTCTTTTTCACTGTTAGCACAGCTCTTTTACACTTTTAAAAAATCTTTTACAAACAATTTTTAATGGAGAAATAGTTATTGAATCACAGACATTTCTGTTGCAGATATTCTTATGATCCATTTGTGCAATCCCCCAACGATTGTCCTGAAGCAGAGCTAGCCGTGAATGCTGGAGATTACATTCTAGTTTGGGGAAATATGGATGAGGTAAGATGAAATCTTTTAATACCTATACTGGAGTACAAGAAAAATATTTTAAATTTATTTTTTCCTAACAATCCTTCAACAATATTTCCAATACAAACAAAAAACAAAATTTCTCAGTGGCCATTAAAAAATATGTATACACTGATGAACAAATTTAATGCACCACTCAATTTATTTTGTTTAAAATTAAATCCATTATCTTTCTACATTGTAACTGGAACTATCCTCACTGCTAGTATCAAACCGATTAATAGTTTGTACAGTTTTAAAAGGGCTTTGAAGATGCATTTACATGAAAAATCGTATTATGGTCTAAATGAATTTTTTAGTTCTTCAAGGCCACAATACCTTACTGTGATAATTTTGTAATTATTTTTAATTACTCAGAGATCGTGAGATGCGGTCTGGTGTGATGTAGGTTTCAGAAAAACATTTTCTTTATCGTGCCAACGTTTCGATCTTTATTGAGATCATCTTCAGGGCCTGGATTTACAAACATTGTTTACTTTGACAAATACATGTAGGATGTGTAAAAAAGTGAATTTATACAATGCAAATTTTTTTTTTATTCAAACAAAGTATTTCTACTCACTCAAAGTGTTTGTCTTCTGTGTAATTTGTAATTAAATATATTTTTTATAATTAAATTTCTTTGTAATTAAATATATTCTATACCAGGCCCCTTAGAGCATATATTGTGGAAAATCCAGATTTGAACCCAATCAAATACATTTGGGGCCAGCTTAAGCGACGAGTAAAACGGCAAAACCCAGGTGTTCTTCACCCTAGAAGAGTTGAAAATGGCTGTTCTTGATGAATGGGAAAGAATTCTTCAGGATTTTACCAGAAATCTTTTCAAAGGAATGGAAAGCCATTTAACGGATATGATTCGTGCCAGAGGTGGAAATACTCGGTATTAAAGGGGACAAAAAAGTTTTTCTTACATTTTAATTTGTCCTCTTGGAATTTAGATATCCCCATACAGGTCACAGAAGGCTCAGCAGAGCCCAGATAATTAAATTCATTAATGGCAGGAACAGTCTGCAACTGATCAGATTCACACGACAAGCTTGGTCGTATCGTAATGAACTAATTAGGGAATTCAATTATGATCAGTAGTCCTTTTCCTTTTTAATTTGGTATCATTGTATTATTATTATTATCTTATTTTTATTTATATATATATTTTCTTATGGTTGTGGCTTCAACCTCCGGCAGACGGTTTTTATCCATGCCGTTATTTTATGTTAAGGCATATGTTCTGTTTTGTAAACATTTTTTATACTAATAAAGCATTATTTATTATTATTAATTTTTAAGGGCGTTTTAACGGCTAAGGTCATTTTACGCCCTAACATCCAAACCTTCTATCTTAGGTTAGCTATATATCCCTTCTGAGTGCTATAAAGCTCTGACTCCAAACATTCACTCGTAATCTAATTTATCCTATTGCCATCCAAGCTTTAATTTTTCTTTTTAAAATTCTTAATTCAGAAGGCCAAATGTATACAAAATTCCCATTTTAAATTGCATAAAATTTAATAAAATTATAAAATTTATTTGTTTCTTTTTTAATTAGAATTGTGAATTTTTGTTCCATAATTTAAAAATTCTCCGTAGGCTTGTATGGCTAATAATAATAATAATAATGGAGTCAGACTAGCAACAGTCTCAGCATGAGTATAGGCTCATCCTTATCCTTTTATTCTTCCATTCAAATATGATAACTAATTCTACATAATAATAATAAGAAACAAAACACAACTATTTTTCTTATTTAAATTGCGATTTTGGGCATTGCAGTTTATTCCCCCGCAATTTGTATTTTCTTCCATTTCATTTTTTCGCTCCGGCAGCCTCAAAAACTTCTGAAAAAAGAAATCTTGCACGCACAACTCTTATTCAAACATTAGCAGGCATTCAATGGTATAACAATTTGGGAAAAGGCCTAAATCTCATTATAAATTCCAATAAATTTGAGAAAGCTGAAAAGTGCTCTTCGAAAGAAACACTGGGGACCCAGTAACTCCTGTAAATCACTCGAAAGGTTGAGCCTTTGCCTATTATTATTATTATTATTATTATTATTATTATTACATTTTTATTTGGGGTTTCAGGGAAAAGGAGTGTTGCCACTAGGCAATTTCTCCTATAAGAGACTCAAATGACAAATTCAACATGTATGAACATATTTACTTAATACGATATTTGAAGTTGTAAATATCAAATAAATGTAATTTTTTTAAAAACTTTTACAATTAGGTAAAAAAACATTTTCTTTTTAAACATCTTATTTTTACAACCAAACCTATTTTTGGTATGCAAATATGAATAAACCTAAATACATTAAAAATTTAAGGGTGGTACGTTATTTTGTACATCAGTGTATATTGGTGTTTAAATGCCAAACAAATGAAGTTATAAACAATCCCACCTAACCGTAACAGAGGCTTATTTCAGTTAATATCTGCAATTCAATCTTATACATAATTCTTAAACTTTATAAAAAAAATTGAACATAATTTTTAATTAATGTATACATTACAGGATGGTTTCTTTGATGGTGAACTTCTTGACGGCAGAAGAGGACTTGTCCCATCAAATTTTGTTCAAAAACTGGTTGGTGACGATTTACTCGATTTTCATCAATCAGTAGTCCAAGTATTGAGAGACTGCGATGACTCAGTGTCCACTAATATACCTCCAGATTTAGATTACAATAATCTCAATAGTGGTAAGCAAAAGAAATCTGTACATTTTTAGTATAAGTTTGGAATAATTTTAATTTACACATTGAGCTAGTGCTGCTGCTCACCTGCATACAATTTGCTCAATTATTCGATTTTTAAGAGATGTATTATTAAATGTCGTTATCCACTGTTTATTTAGATAATTTGTAAAATTAGTAATACTTGTATCATTACATTAACCTATTTACAATAATCTATTGACAGGTTAAAAAAAAAAATAGAAGTAAAAGTGAAAAAAATAATAAAAGTAAAATTGAAAAAGTAAACATGTCAAAATTTGTAATTAATTTTTTTAAAGTAAAGTAAAGCAATTCCTGTCATGCAGGAGGGCTTAACATCCGATTACCTGTTGGGTATCGTGGTTGAGGGGTCAAACCACTTTGCAATACATTTTTTATGCTATAATCTTTTAAAAAGCCATGGGTTCTGCAGGGATTCAAACTCAGAACTAGCATGGCAAATACGAGTCAGGTACCCTAACCACTTGGCCACTGCGGTCATTCATATATGTCAGTTGGTTTTATTTTGGTACAGTAAAACTTTAGCAACTGGCTGTGTTAAATACAAATGTTAAATACAATAACAATTTATTCTAAGTATAAACAATTTATTAAATTAGTCTACCAGTTGCCGACCTGAGAAAACAGATTGTTGCTAGAATTAGATAGAATAGAAAACCTCATATTTCTGAGAATTGATCACAATTAAGTTTCAAAACCTAAATTGTTTCCTTGACCTATTAGGGAAGTATATTTTTCTCCAAACACCCATATCTACAGTCAATCAAGTTTGAACAAATTATTACATTAATTTTTTTAAAAATCATTAGGAGATTTCTTCAGTAAAAGAACTTCTGCTGATTTTGACTTGGCAGATATTCTTGAGGAGGAGGAGGAGGAAGAAGACATTGACCACACAAGGGAAGGACAAGGTGTGTTTTTTGTAACTTCGAAAATAATAGCTTTTTTTCATTATAGCTGTAGTTGGTCTCTAGTGACTTAAAATCCTTTTAAATCATATACATTGTCATTTAGAGAACCAAGTGCGCTTGCTATTAGCATAATTTTTGACATATAAAAGATTTAGCAATGTTATTTTGTTAAATAACATGGGAAACCAGTTTAATAATTTTTCATCAAATATAATTACACCTCACTGTGTAAAAAAATATCACTATTAAATACCAAATTAATTATATTTTTTAACCAAATTATGCACAGATACACAATTGCTTACGTTTATGTTATTTACACTCACAACTTAACTAATGCTTCATAAGCATTTATCATTTTTTAGTCAAAATTAATAAAATAATTAGTTGTTACTTTATTTTTATTAATTTTTTCTACAATTTATATCAAAATACCTTAATTAAATTTAAAAAATTAATCTCATGTTTGAAATCACTGATCCAATTCAAGAGTTTGAAATTATAAACTTTATTTGTTTAAATATTATTAGATGCAATACCATTTCTACTGCTTTCCTGTTGTGATTGTACCCAAAACGTTTCAGTGATATTCAGGATAATCCACATAGTTTATCACTACTCTAGATTGTCTCTGTTATCCCATCAACAGTTAAAATTTTGAAAATAACGTTAAATTTGATCCATTAAAAAGGATTCATTAAATGTTACTAGACATTTATTTTAAAGTCAAACCTAAAAAAGGGATAATTGATAGCAGACATCATTTGCAAAAGTCTTCTGTCCAGGGTATGAAATTTAATCATTCAATTATACTTTGTAGTAATCTTTATTCGAAACAATTTTACCAGATCTTTTAACAATCTAAGGTAAATTTCATTTTGTGTTTTAGTTTCAACTACTAAATCGCAATTTTTTTTTTTTTTTTTTTTTTTTTTATTAGTTATATGGAGATATTTATGCTGCACGGAAAAAATTTATACAAAAGAATTTGGTAGATACACGAGAATAAAGAATTAACATGCCAATTGCAATCATTTATTTGCACATTAAAAAATGTTTTATCAAAATATTAAGTTTTAAAAAAATATTTAAATAACTTCATTGATTTTTTTTTTTTTTTTTTAATTAAATGACTAAATTTAGAGAAAATGTTCAAAAGTTTCATTAAACTGGAAAATCAATATATACTATCTGTGACTCAAAAATAAAAGCTCTGATATATGATTTACATGTAATTTATCTTTTTTTTTAATCATAAATCAAAATATAAACTACTTACAAAACTAACTTTCTAACTTTTCAGAGAAATTATCGTTACCAAAGTACATGATATATGAAATGGTTCAATTGACAATAATGGATTTTATGGTTTTTATTTGGGAAATAAATGACCATGGCATAAACTATTGAAAAGTTTTTCTTTCTTTTTTTTTTTTGTAATAATAAAAGAAGTAGTTTGGAATTCAATTGCATAAGATATATAAAGCCATATTTGGAGAAAATGAAGTAAAATGTTGAAAACATAAACAAATACTTGCTATGTCTGCTTATATTTTGGAAATTTAATTATTTATGTCAAACAATAAAATCTATGGTTTAGAAGTATAACATTCCTTGAAAAGATATTTAAAGTCAGAATAAGATTTAAAATATAAAATCCTATTATGTTTAGAATATTTTTCTCGTTAATAAGACTATTTTTAAACCTAAAGAAAGAATGGCTTTCTAGTAACACGAAGTTTTACATATATTCAATTTGTAGTCGTTTTCCCCCTGAATGATAAGACTATTTTATTTCATTACTAAAAGACAAGTTACAAAAAAGAATTTACAAATGGAATAATGTATAATTCATATAATTCTAGTCATACAATTCTAATAATTTACTTAATTAATAGGATACATTTTCTAAGACTTTCAAAAAATGCTTAGATTTTTTGCAGTTTTCATGTTATCAATAGCAAATTTTCACAGTTGTAGTTTTCTTGTACATTTTACTTATTCGTTCATCAGTGATTTTATCCGAGGGGCGATTGTTTACTTTATTTAAAAATTACGATTAAGAAAAATTCACCACACCTGAAAAAATTAGCCAACAAAAAATTTAACCACTACCTCAACCACTTAAAAAATTTAATATGACTGTCAACTATTTGTTTTATTATTTAATCTTATTTATTTATATGTGAATTCAAAATTCATGCAGCAGTTGGTTTGCCATTGCTTACTCATGTGATAAAATTTCAGGGATAATGCTATATGGAAAAGTATATTTTAAATAGTATAATTCTTGTACAAATTGTTGCTGCTCAGAGATATTTTTTCTTTGAAGTAGGCTTATTTTTGAGCAAGCATTTTGTAAAAAATAAATATGAACTAGAAAAGAGTGTAAAATCAAACTTTACCTTGAGTTTAACTTGTGCTGATCAAGAAATTTCTATTCATAAATATTTACTATCTGTTTGTTCATAAAATAAGTAAATGATTAATTTTAATTTAGCAGTGTCAACAGCAAATTCATATAAATGGAGTCAGTTAATTGTGATTTAAAATTCTGTTTTAAAGATTTATAAAATAAAGTAACAAATCAAGTTTTTTACAAATACATAGTGTACATAACATACATGTATACACAGATTTGTTTTACCGAATGTCTGAGATTGTCTAATTTTCATTCCATTTTTATTTATTTTTATCTGCTTATATCTGTATGAAAATGGAAAGGGTATGGAGTATTAAGAGTACGATCTTTAGTCTACCACTAATGAAATTCAAAGGCTTTTGTTGTTATAGATAAACATGGCTGTATTTCTTTTTGCATTTTTTTAAAAGAAATTGTTGATGAAATGTTTAACATTAATGATGTTTTAACAAACTATATGTTATATGTTGAGATGCAGGGGATATATTTTTATTTTTACTCTCACCTTGCACTTCTTGTTTACTATCAAGGGATTTAAAGGTTCTGTTTCTCGAATCACTAAAATTACTGCTCTTGAGATTACAAAATCTAATTGCCCTTGATTTTGTCATTGGAATACACTAGCTTTTAATTCTGGTTGCAATTTTACTTTTTCTTTTGTAAATCTCTCGTGTTGTACCAAATATGGAACTTTTTGGTAAGTTAGGTGATCAACATCGTGAGAGTTGTGAACATCATGTGCAGGTATCTCTTTTTTAAGGACCTAGACCACTCTAAGGCAGCATTTAAGTTAAATATTCAAGATGCTATTTTTCTGAACTCCCTGCTCTACGAAGGCTACTTAAACTTAGGTGTGAGCATGTGTTTATAAATTCTGTCCCATAGAAGACAATGGAAATTGCATGTGTACACTTTGTAACCTAAGAGCAAAGGAGGATATTTTTCATTTCGTTGCCCATTGTGCCATATTGTCAGAGCTTCGAATCCTGTATCTTGTACATAGAGCGCTTTCCAGGTCTCAGCTGTGTTTAATCTCTTAAATATCATAGATGTTGACAAATCACAAGGTCTTGCACTCAATGCACATCATGCCTGGCAATATAGGTATGTTCAGTAATGATTAGTAATTGCTTTATTTGAATTCAATTTTTTTTAATATAATTTAGTGCCAAATTTTTGCATCTAAAATAATTATATTCATAGCCAACTATCGGCAGACAGATCCATCCATGCTGTAAAAATTTTTATAAATGTTCAATATGTAATGTTCTTTCTTTGAAGATATGATGTTTGTTAATCGACCTGCAGATAATCTATGTGGAGTTTCAATCTTCATGGAGGTCATTAGACAGGTGAAGAAAGAAGAAGACTAATTGTTGGGTTCACCAAGCTTTCGGCAACTTACAGTGCCATCATCAGGGCTTTCCCAAGAGCGTAGAAAACGATTAACATGGAAAAACTATTGTAAAAGCATTTTGGGTCTAAGGTTATGAAGCACATGGCCAGCATGCTACATTTAACATGGTGAAAATATCTCGCTAATAAAAAATCCAAACTAAGGTTCAACAATTTTGTTCTGACTAGCAATTTCTTATAGGTAACATTTATGATCACAGAGTATTTTGACTAAAATTGTAGCTATTTATAAAAACTATGTACACAGGATTAACATTAATGAGAGAGAGTGACAAGTCGTCTCAGGTTCGAATGTTCAGTAATAACTGGGTTCAATACATAATAGGGATAGGGATAAGAGGCAGCCACAAGGCCTACTGTACCTCAACCTAAATAGATCTATGCTCCTCTGTTAATTATAACTCACTGGCCAGTTTCAGGCTGTTAACCAGCCTCCACAGCTTTTGTAAGATCTTGCTTGTGGTTTTTCTTGTCCTAGTTGCAAGAACCTGCACCTACATAGATCTTAGCAGAAACATAAAATGTGTTCGGCGGTCTCCTCCTCTTCCTGGCAGAATCTGCACAGTGTTTCTTCTGTCTGTACTCCTATTCGGTTCATGTGCTTTCTTAAGTGGCAGTGCCCCATCAGGAGTCCAACCAGAATCCTGGTTCGGTTGCGGTTGCCTTCCAGTAATTCTTTTGTAAGTTTTGCGGATGGTCCTATGAATCTCTTCACATGCCTCATGCCTGTGTTATTGCTCCACCAGGTTTTGGACTCATTAAGGATCCATAGTAAGATGTATCCTCTTTTGTGGCAGGCTGCTAGGCTGCAGTAGGGTTCTGGGCCCATAGAGTCCATGTTGGCTCCCTTTTTGGCCAGCATGTCAACCTTTTCCTTGCCTCTATGTCCCGAATATCCAGGGACCCATGCCAGGGTCAGGTCATTAGTGTCGCTGACTTCCGTCAGGGCCTCCATGCATTTCCTAACACTCTTCCTTCGCCTCACATGAGGTTAAGGTCCTGAGAGCTGCCTGGCTGTCAGAGAAAAGGCTATCTTCTGAGAATGTATTCCTAACCTTTTTATTTCTCTGGCACATTGTTCAATCGCTATGATTTCAGACTGGAAAACTGTAGTATACTTGCCTAGGTTTACCATCAGTTCGGTCTTGGGGTTCATCCATGTCGGCTTTAGAGCAATCAGTATACCAGTACGAATTTGCCTTTAGTGGCATTCGCTTGGCCCATTCTTCCCATTCTGGTATCAGTACTTTTTGCTTCTTGGTGAAGTTCCTAGAATGGCATCTGCCTTTATCTCCTCCATTGTTTATTCACATGGCCTATCCTAGCAGATGGTTGTCCATTTATGATCCTGTGGGCTGCTGCTCTGGCTTCTCCTTGGATTAAAATGTGAAGTGGTGGGAGGTTTAACAAAACTTCCAGGGCCGCAGTTGGCGTTGTGCTCATGGCACCAGTGACACTGAGACACGTTTGTCTTTGGGTGCCACTTAGCAGCCTTATTGCTTTGGCCTGAAGAGTTTTGCTCCACCACACCACCGGCCCATATGTCAACATTGGTCTTACGACACAGGTGTATAGCCATAGGGTCATTTTGGGGTTTAGACCCCAGTTGTGTCCTTTTGAGCAGGTTTGTGTAATCCTCAGCCTACTTTGCTGAGTCTGCTTCTTCATCCATGGTTGGAAGCGCGAGTTGAGCCTTTTGGCTTTCATCTTCTTCGTACTTACCTCTTTGACGGAATCGAATTCTTCCCATTCCAAGGTGGGGGTTCATATCCACTTTCTGGAGCTCCTGAAAAGAGTCGTTGTCCATGGAGAAGGTCCACAAGATACCCTTCTCCTGTCGGATTTCTCCCCAGACAGTTCATAGCTGTGTTTTTAGCTCCCGGTTTGCAGACTTTAGCCTAGCCAAAATCCTCTCTGCCGTCAGCCTTCCAGTTTTGGGATCTGGTACGTAGGTGGTGCAGGCGATTGGTTTCGGTATTTTGTCTCCTACCAAAATCTCGAGAACTGCGTCCTTCCATGGCTTTAGCGTTGGGATGGTCTCCCTTAGCCAGTCTGCATTGACCTGATCCTTACAGGTTATGACCATATAGCCTGACCTGTGTGAATTTGTTGAATTTCACTTACAATATCTGCGTTTCTCTGGCCGATAGTTTTTCATAAACCAGCATGATGGTGTCCTCGAGGGTGTCAGCCTTTTGGGGGTGTCATCTGGTTTACTGGGTAACCTTTTTCTACCACAGCTATTTTTACTTGTGTCAAGACTCCCTTATAGGATGTCTCCTTCTTGGAGGGTCTTGACTTTTTTGATGATCTTTTCCTCGCTTCTCCTTGTATACATTTTTTCAATGGAGGTAGTTTAGTACTGTTTTCTGTGATAAATAATTTTGAATGCTGCCTAATGTTTGGGTAGCATGTTTTTGTTGAGCTTTGATCAAGATTAGTGAGCCATAGGATATTTTGGGTCTTATCCCAAGGTCTGCCTCCTCCACAAATATAGCTGACATACATATTTCTGTAAATGGGTAACTATAGATGCCTGTACTACGAATCCATTACCCATGCTGTGAACTTTATTTAAATTTAGTTTGTTTTAGTCTTTTTTTTTTCTATTCGCCTTTTAAAAAAGTACTCATTTTCTGTACTTTGTCAAGTACAAATGGTGCACCTATCCGCTAACAGCATCTTAAAGCACAAATTCTATTTTAACTTTTGAATAATTTAAATCTAATATATTTATATCACTGTGTATATGTATGCTATGTATATTCTATAATTTATAACTGCTATATTTAATAATTTGAATACATTTAATAATACAAGATACGCCCTACTTGTTTTCCTGTGTTATTATTATCATTTTTTAAAATAGTTTTTCATCCAAACTATAGTACATACTTCTATTTTTCGTTTTATTTTGTTTAAAAGTCATAATGGGGCATTATTTCATTGATAGTGTAAATATCTTTATTAAATAGACATGTAATTTTTAGTTGCATTTTTATATTAGTTGTGAGAAATATATATTGTACTGGGGTACATAATATAGCATGTAAACTGTAGAGGTTAGTTTAGTTGTTGTCACGTTCAGACGTGTTCTTCTCGGTGCTAGTCGCTGCCCCTAAACAGCTGACTCTTGAGAGGCAACTCAACAAAAGTATCCTGATCGGTTGGAATCCTCCCGACTCGCCATCTCCTCAGATAGACTGCTACCACGTCTACGTTGATAGAGTTCTCAAGGTCACCGTCAAAGCTACTGAACGGACTAGAGCCCTTGTTGAAGGAGTCGATTCAAACAGAGTAAGTGTCAGATAAATGATATATTATTTTCAATGTTCCCTATTTACTATGTGTGTTGATTTGTTTGATTTAAATAAAACAGTCGCAAAACATCTGCCAAAATTTTCGGCTTAATAAATACAGTGGTGTAAATTTATTAACTTTTTGTAAAATTAATTCTGAAATTTTTGGTGGTTTACAATACATGTCCTTGTTCACTATGACTTAATTGCAACTATTGTGGAGGGCCTCTACTATTTGTTCACACCCTTTAAGAATTTCAGTAATTTACTGAGATTTGAGCCACTTTACGCCTTGTCTTTAGAAATTTATGATTATCTTCCCAAAGCAGAGGTACTTTTTCCAGTTCAGTTTCTTTTTAGCAGAGCCTGAAAATATCTTTTTAGCTTTGCCTATTTTTTGAGGTAGTATGCTGATGGACAATTGCCAGTGAAAAAGCTTATGATTTCTCTCATCCTTTCTTATGATATTAACTTCTTTGGTGTTATAAAGACTTCTTAGACAATGTGATCTAATCATAGCTTCTGTGTCACACCATTGCACTTTCTAGATGCTGCTTTGCTAATTTCTTCAGGTTCTTCTCCAGTCTTCCCATTTGAAATAGTTATGAACATATGCCATATTATGTTTCCCTAAATAGTGAATATGTGTCATAAGCATTTAGAATAAACAGCTAAAAGTATATGTCAAACATTCCATTGCTAACAGTTTGGCTATTGAGTAAGATTTAGGTTAGAGTAGGACCCGGCCTCTTATGACAAATATTTATCTGTTGTGTATCTTGGTTGTTTACAGCTCCCTCATTACGCTTAATGGTTTCTAACAGATCCAAAATCTTTTTCATGGGCTCCTGTGTGTATCCTTCAGGCCTAGGCTTTTCCTCTTCCATGAGTAGGAATCTCAACCTACATAAGCCTTCGCACCATCAGAAAAGTTGTACTGATGTTTCTTCTTCTTCCCGGCGATATCTTTACAGTCTTGTTTCTACCACTCTGAGTCTATACTTATCCCTCCGGAGTCTGCAGTGCCTAGTTAGTCTAGTCATAACTCATCTTGGGTTTAATAGTTCTGCCATTAGTTTCTGCAATGGTCTTTTGATGAACCTTTTCACATGCCTTTGTCCTGGGCTACATTCCCATTGAATGGAGGGTAATCTGAATCTGTGCACTGAGTTCAATTTCATGGACCTATGTTTGGAGATCCCAAGAATTTCACAAGGGAGAAATTTGATTCTTTTACTGTTCCACACTCCTTCTTCAAAAAATTTTCTTTTTATTTAGTCTACCTTTGAAGTCTATTGTAAATCTGTTCAAAAATTTGTAATCATTATCCTCAATGTCTGGCTTGATTTCACTATAACATAAAAGTCTCTCGACTTTCAAATACCATCCTCTGAATTTTTTGTGTGTAGAGAGGTGGCAATTTCAGTGCAGATTTAATTAAATTTAAATAACAATTTGTTGCTTATATGAGTTTTTACGTGGATTTTTCAAAAGATCTAAGTCTTTTATTAATTATTTTTTAGGTTATAAACTTTACCACCATGGTTGTTTTTGGGAAAATATTCTTTTTATTCATAGGACTTTTGGGGATTTTTTCTCATTATCAGCTTATGTATTATATTTGTAATGTTTCTTGGTTATTTGTAATCGTTCTACTTCGCAAAAGTGGAAAATAACATTTCAAATATCTTATTTTCTCTTCTTTTTCGGTTGTTGACTTTTTTTTTTTTTCTTTAGGAACTAGACAACCATCAAACTCATTTTCTTTTTATTGATATTGATTCCAAAAAGAAAATGAGACTGACAAGGGGAGGCTGATGCCCCAAAAAACAATATCAATAAAAAGAAAATAAGTTTGATGGTTGTCTAGTTCCTGGAGAGAGAAAAAGAGTTGACAACCAAAAAAGAAGAGAAAAAAGATATTTGTAATGTTATTTTCAATTTTGCGAAGTTCTTCTTTTCCAGGAATTCTTCCTTATTAAAGGAGGAGTTAAGTGTTTAGTTTATAAATAAAAGACTTATGATCTTATGAAAAATCTGAGTAAAACCTCTTAAATAAATTAAATTTTTTAAATAAATTAATAAATTAAAAAATTCTCTAATAAGGAAATGTTTTCTCTAAAGTCCATAATATGATATAGGGGTCTAGATGTAATTGATAAAATATGAGTGTTACATGCCGTTATGCTATTATAGTACCTTTATTATAGAAATATTCCTAACGTTATTATCTACTAGTATATGGTAAACACATTCTTTATATTAGTGTTATACTTGTGATTTTATTTTATTTTTATTTTTTTAATTTTTAGTGAAAGGGATAGTAAACTATATGCTTCAGTGCATACATTTTTTCAGACTATATATAATTTATTAATCCCACTTTGAATGCCTTCACACGGTTTACAAATTGCTTTCGCAGTGGCATTTCAAGCTTTCATATTAATAAATAACACATGCACATAATGAAAAACATCTCAATTTCTGGACATTTTAATTAGAAATAATAATATATGAAGAACGTTTTTTCGTAATTAGAAAGTTAATATAAATTATAAATTTGGTCAGTTTTAAAATTTAAAAAACTCTCTTTGCAAATAATATATATATAGACTTCTTGCTTTTTCTTATATGAAGCAATTAAAAAAAAATGTATTGGTTTTTAAACAATAAATATTAATATCTCATACATTTGTTTCATGGTGATGTCATGTCTGGAAAGTTAAAAAAATCCTTAAACTGTGCTATAAAAATGTCTTAGCCAAATTTTTTCACATTTATCCCATATTCTTTGACTTTATTAGCCCTTTAAGAAAATTAATTGAATAGTTTAACTTGTGTGCTGCTTTCAGGCGAAAAGTTCAACTTTGAAAATGCACACTGTCAAGGAATAAAAGCTATTTTTAAAATTTCACAATCACAGCCACTTTCATTTTTCCTTTATAGGGTATTATACAGAACCGAAACGTACAGCTGTGTTCATCAAAGCTTTTCTGATACAACACCAACTTACATATTACCTTCAACTTAAATAAACTAGATAAACTGATCACAATTCATTTTGTTCGTTGCATGAACATAGGTGAAAATAAGTAATAGCTGCATCAAATAATTGTGCTTATTAAACTAAGTTAACAACCAAAGAAATTATTTTGAAAAAATAAATAATAATAAAAGATACTTTTTAACTGTATCGTTACTATTGTTCTATTTAAATTCGTTATTTTTTCAGCCACACCGAATAAGCGTTCGCTCAGTAACGGTGAATCGACGGACGTCAAGGGATGCAGCATGTACTATGGTTATTGGAAAGGACGTCCCTTTGGGTCCTACGAACGTGAAAGCTGGCAGAGTGACTGCCACATCGGCAGTTATTTCTTGGCTGCCGAGTAACAGCAATTACCAGCACACAGTTTGTGTCAATAATGTCGAACTACGGACTGTTAAACCGGGTGTCTATAGGCATACAATCACAGGTAATGTGCTCCACGTGTTTATTAACTTAGTTATACATATTAATAAAAATAATTGTTTTCTTTTTAAATCAATGACTAGAAATGAATTTAAAATAAAAATAAATGTAAAAAGGCTGATTGCTTTAATTAACCAACCAAACATACAGAAAAAAAAATTAAAACATTTATGTGGAAATGAATTTGCAGTGTAAGAAAGTTGATATATAAGTTGTGTTATAAATGATTAACCTTATGATTTAAATAACAAGCCTTCATTGTTTGATATAATGTTTAAAAAAACTTTTAGTTCATAATTGTTATTTTGTTTTCAAGGTTTGGCCCCAAATACAGTATACAGAGTAACAGTACGAGCGAAAAATATTAGAGCTCCTCATTTTGATGAAAAGGCGAATATTCCGATAGAAAGATATGCTTGCCATATCGACTTCCGCACACTTCCAAAAGGTGAATATAATTGATTTTACCTTAATACTTACTTTGGTGAAGCCGGATAATTCCCTTTAATTTATGAAACGATGAAAAGGATGCAGTTTTGTAAATTTGTATTCATATTATTAGTTAACACTGCTATTTGTAAATGTTAAATGCTATTTGTAATCACTGAAATCGTATTTTGGAAATGTTTATATTAAAAATATATAATAGATACGGGTAATTTTATATAACTTTCCCATCACTTCAGCATCTTTTTCTAAGTCTAAATAAAATGAGAAGCTAGTTTTTAATAGAGTTGATGCTGGGTGATGGTCTGCGAGGCGGTGAACTTATGCTGAACCGGCAATGAGTCACTTATTGGGTCCATCTTCACTCGTGGGTTTGTTGAACTATTCAAATACGTTTCAGTATTGCGCCATCATCAGTTCGAATAGCTCAACAAACCCTTGAGTGAAGAAAGACTCAACAAGTGACTTAGTTTGGAATAGTTTGAATCATTTGAAGAAATACGCTTATACTTATAACAACTCACATAAAAACAGTACATTTATTTAAATTCATAAAATCTTGATTCATACATAAAATGAATTTTCCATGAATTTTACCCCTTTTACCATTCATTTAATGTTCTAATAACAAAATTTTACATGATTCTTCATAATTATAGGTAAATTGAATACCACCTAAATATTTTATTAAGTGTCAAAAAATATTTATCTATCCACACAGTTATATACATAAACCACGGCTGGAACAAGGATAATATTATGTTTGATCCATCCTCTTATTCCTACACAATGTTTAATTGCATAATAAAAATCCATCAAGGTTAAAAAATCTTGATTTGCTGCTTATCACTGATTTAATAAACCGATTAAGTAAGTACAAATTATCTAAAAGTACATATTTTCTTGACCAGATACAGCATGTCAATTATTTCTACCGACCTGACTAATCCTACAATAGATAGCAGGTCTAATTTTCAGCAATTAATAGAATCGAAATTTTATAAATGCATTGTGAAACTTAAACTTTATAGTATGATAGTGAGGGTTACAATCAATGTTTCTTTCAAAATCAGCTTATTTTGGAACAATTTCAATTGAAAACGACGTATTTTTATTAAAATCCTTCAACATTATTTTAATGCAATTTTCACATTAATAAATAAGAGCACAATGTCTGCACATGCGAAAATATTATTTTAAACAATAAAAAGTATTATTGCATAAATACTAATTTGAGTGAAATTATTCATGATTCAGTTAGTAGCATAGTTTGGTTTTCAACACATAAAATGCAAGTTTCATTTTCCCACTTTTTATTCTATGGTCGGTCAATAGTACTGAAGATTATCTCTTCTTTATATTACTAGAATTTGTGTTGTTGTAGTGAATAAAATGGTTCTGCTTGAAAATTGTTATTACATAAAATAGATATTTTTTATGTAGATTATTTTGTTTTAACTGCACATCAATTGCTAAACAAATAGCATCACTAGAAGAATGTTAGTTGAAAGAATGTTGTTTGAAACTATAAATAGGAAGGAAACAGTTTTGTATATAAACAATTAAAAATAAAATGCTTGCTATTTGTGCTATGTCAAATACAAATAGTATTAAGTCACAGTTATCCTCCTATGTTGCTTGTGAAAGGATTTTTAATGTATGATTTAAAAATTGCAGCTTACAAAAATTACTATTAGGTTAGTTTAAACAAAAAAAACACTAATGCCAATGGCAGGGTTTCAAAAAAATTGTGCTAAATTAGTTTTAATTTGACTTGAGCATGTCTGAAAACACAATAGAAAATATTTTGTTTGAATAATAAAAATGCACATGATATAAGACTAGTTCTTTTACTTAATTTAATCTCAATCTGTTATAAGAATAAATTATTTATTACCTTGTGTTAATTTCAGTTTCAGTTACAACTATGTTAACCTTTAAAGGCTAGTCTCCAATTAAAACATTACATACACCACCAGTAAAGTAGAAATTAGCATGTAGAAAAGAATACAATAAATTAAATAAATTCTGCACCCTTGGGGCAAGTTTAATTTCGGCCAAATGAGATAACTGCTATTCTAGGAAGTTTTAGGCTGGACAGACTGTTTAATTGAGAAACCATTTTCTTTTATGGGCAATGTGCCTTTTTAATTGCTGCGGGAGTATTTGTATTGCAGGGGCAATACCACACTTTATTATTATTCCATACACAAAACCTATTAGAACAAGTTTATTTATTTAACATTTTCGTTATTGTTTCTTGCCCTTTTTCACTCATTTTTGAGCGGTACAAAAGTGAAAAGTTACAAAAGTGAAAATTTGTTTATTCCAAGCTGGTCAAGATCTTTTGTGACTCTCTCTCCCTCCCCCTCACTCTCTCTCCCNATCCCCCTCCCTCCCTTATATTAAAATTATTTTAGCTAAAACTATTCTCCTTGTAGGTTTTTATTTACTCAATAATGAAAAATGTAGGAATATAATTTGTTCAATCAAACAAAATTTAATCGGCTGACAAACTTATTCTGTTTACCAATTAACTGGACTGATAATATAAAAACAATCAGAATAATATAAAATTACCATGTATAATGTATATGAAAAATTTTGTAACACCAATATCAAATCAAATTGGCTACAAAGTACACACTACACATACCATTCGGACTTACCACATAATCTTAATTTACTCTCAATCCCTACAAAATTGACATAGAAATGAAAGACAGTACAGAAAAATAGCTGGACTGAAAACAGTAACTGACAACCGAAATCAAATTTTTGTCAACTTGGCACACACAAAAAAATGCATTCCATGTAACAATCAACATTCAGTTCTGCTCAATTTTATTATAATCACTTATTTGGGCTTAGGTATTTTACTTTTTAATACTTTAAAAAATAAGTTCACTCTTGTTTCTATAAATTATTTTTAATGAGAAATGAGCATAATATTGCACTAATTTGAAAATAAATCTGTCTTCAATATTATTAGTTTTGAGTTTTTCAAACTTCAATAAAAGGCATGAAAATTATTCTGTTAATTTCATTGTGGATTTATTTATTTTAAGTCAAACCGAAGTGCCAAAAAGATAATCTGTAACTTTATAATCAATAGCTCTGCAATTTTTTTTTTTTTTTTTTTCAATTTCTTAATGGTGTATGCTGGAATTGGCTGTCTTGCTGGAATCAGTATCATTGCTGATGTTTTTTCATGCAAACTTCCATAGAGAAATAATGATTCAACATTGGCATGCATGAATATGATCCGATACAACCGAATTTGGTTGACAACATAAAATCGCTTAACAATCCTTCAAGTATGGCAACTTACTTGATCACCTCTCAAAAAATTGAACATGTTTACTTTTTGTAAAGATGAGAATTAATTTACAATTTAATCAAGCTAAAAATAAATGCATATCATAAAAAAATCAATAATTTTGTGTAAAAAATTGATAAACAAATATACCTTGCATGAAACATTTTCCAGCTTATCTTTCAATTATTAAAGGCATTTTCATTTTAAACAGATGCTATATATTTGACATAATAATGATCAGCACTATTATTTTAAAATCTAATACCATTGTCCATCCGAAATTTATTTATACTGTGATACATCATGAATATTAAGCAAAAAAAATTTTTCCGGTGGCATTTCAGATTTACAGAAACTGATTTGCAATACTCAATAGGGCTATGTATTAAGGTTTATTTCATCAATGGAAAGCATAAGAGATTTGATTAACCTTCCATCTTATATAATACTTTTCCCCTTTAACTAAAAAATATTATGATATAAATAATGTTATTGTCCAGCTTTGGTGTTTTGTGTATGCTTTTTAATGTGTAGATAGTGCTCAAGTTAACTGATAAATCTGTTTTTTTATTTTTGTGCTTGCATGGGATGAATGCAGGCTGTAAAGGTGATTATAATTTTTTTATCTTCTAACATTTTTTACGCTCTCTATAAAATATTCTTATTTTAGTATATGCTTGTATTTAATAGTTTGTTTTAGTTTAAATTTAGTTTTTTTAGACATAAAAACAACGTAAGTATATGTGAGTATTTACACACCAACACATTAACACTTATGACAATTATACAAGGAAACTGATATTTTAACTTTATAATTTTGAAAGAACCATTCAGAAAAATTAAATTGTTCTTTTTACCAGGTTATTCATATTTATATTTAGTTATATATAATATAATATATATTATATTATTATTATATTATATATTATATTATTATAAATACTATATATATTATATATAATATGTTGTTCTTATCTTTGGCTTGATTATAAGTTCAAACACTTTAAACACCTAATTAATCTTTTTATGTAAGGTTTTTGGTTGAAATGAAAACATTAGTGTCACGAGGGGGATTCGAACCCATGACCTTCAGCTCAATACACCGCTGCTCTAACCTTGAACTGTTATGACTTTGATCCACTCGGACACCGACTCCACTTCTCAACCTACAACCTTTCGAATTTTCCCTCCTTTTTGCCATTATTCATTTCAACCAAAAAGATTAATTAATTGAAAGAAATTTTGTCAATAGACTACTAAATATAATGGATTTTAAACAACTATATTGCTTCATTTTAACCAGCAGTACGTTGTATACAGCAACTATGTTTGCAAGCATATTTTCAACAAGAAAAATGATCATCTTCACCCTATTATGAATAGGCCATGCAAGGTTGATATGTGAATGCTTACTTTAGAGCCAAAGCTTGCGTATGTGTCAGGCATGTAGAGAAAGGTTGATGTGTACAATTAGTTGAAGGGTACAATTCCTGAGCTCCGTATAAAGAGAAAGCCACCCGATATGAGAATTGCGCTTGAAATGGATTTATTAGAGTGATTGTGTAGTGTGAGAGAGCCAATGGAGTAATATTGAGTACCCCATCGACCCTCAATTAGGTTAGTTTATAATAGGTGTAAAGGGTGATGGAGGGATATCAAGTATTCGACCACCTGACTGAATGGTATGTAAATAGAAATGTATTTAAGAGTGAGTGAGAGTTTAAATGGGTTCGAATTTAGGAACTGATTGTGTTGGGGGCTGAAATGACCTAGCTGTTGATAGCCCCTGGAGGTTGGATGGCTAAGACTGAGGTCTGACCCCGGATTGCCAACACCTGGGGTGATTTTCAAGGCCAGTAATTTATTGTAAATTACAAAAGCGGAATTGCCATTCGACTGCAAGAAGTGATAGACTCAACTCTGAACATACGTGTATTTATGAGCTTATATAAATCAAATCTTTAACTTTTGACTGAGCAAATTTCACCTAAATCTACTTTAGCATTCTCTCCAAAACCAAGTACCAATTATTTATGAATGAAAACAAAATAATCATTTTTAGTCAAACAGGATTAGGAATGTTTCAGTATACTCAATTAGTTCACACGTTGACCAATTGCTAATTTAAAAATTTTAATTTGCCGGTGGACTGCGAGGAGTTAAAGGCTCAACTCTGAACATGCATTCATCAACAATGGAAATGTATCAAGTACACGTATAACTTATAATAAAAATTTACGACTCTTATGGTATGTATGTTGTATAGTTTGTTGGGTTCGAATCCAGCGGCCGTGCATTCGAACCTGGGACCTTTACCTTACAGTGATGAGTACCGTGTCAACACCTAAACCGTTTCAGCCACCAATGCCCCCCTAATACTGACGTTTAATATCATCATTTTGATATACTTTAGGTATAAGTTTGCCTAAAAACTTTAAGATATTACTGTTTTACTTATTTATTATAAGCATTATGCTGCACACATATGTACAGAATTGGCTTATGACTTACTTAGCATTTTGGTTGTTTGGGGTCAGACTTAGGTGTTTTCCATCCCACTGGGAAAGGTAGGCTCCAGCGCTATCGACAACAAGTTTTTTAGGGGGGCATTTTGGTGGCTGCAATGGTTAAAGTTTTGTCACTGTGAGGGTCCTGGGTTCAAATCTCAGTGACCCAGTATTCCAGAGTAGGTACTTACAAGGGGTTTGTTAAACAAAAAAACACTCAACAAAAAAAGCAACCCCCTCTTCAGTTGCAAACCACCATTTTTCAAAAAAAAATCATTCAAGTAGTTGAGATATTTCGAGTGCACTTGCGTTTACATAGATTTAATACAGGACACTGAAAATCTAGTGTAAGGTTTAACTAAAAATAAATTAGAACTCCTGACCAGTAGAGAAGAGGAAAGTATCCAAAAGTAAGAAAGACCAGCATATAAAGTGAGATATGTTTGTACTTTATACATAAAATCTGTCACGTTTCAAAATGAATTTTCACATTTGACCTTCTAAGTGCCAATTAAATTGAGCATCCATCATGGTTGGATTTTAATTTTTTGGCTGGGTAATGTTTTATTAGCAATTAATTATTATTAACCAATCAATTCAATTTTGAAGGGAAATAATATTTAGAAATTTTTATGTAAAACATTCAAAAGTTGTGTGGTATTTAGTGACCATTAATTAATGACTGTTTGGATATGGTGAGATGCAGTCTGGTGTGGCATAGGTTTAGAAAAACATTTTCTTTATCGTGCCAATGTTTCAATCTTTATTGAGATCATCTTCAGGGCTCAAAGTGGGTGTTTTCTGTGTAGATTTGTCATTATTGTGTGTGGTGTTGAGATTACAAGTGAGACGACACACAATAATGACACAGCTACACAGAAAACACCCACTTTCAGCCCTGAAGATGATCTCAATAAAGATTGAAACGTTGGCATGTTAAAGAAAATGTTTTTCTAAACCTACGTCACAACAGACTGCATCTCACGATCTCCAAACATTCAAAAGGGTTTATGAAAATAAACAAAATATGATTTATTGAGTCAATACTACAGACATAAACAAAAGGTCTTCACATATTTCATTGGAATAAATACAAGCACCTGATATTCAAACAAAAACTAAAACATTCCTGTATTAAAACAAAAGTTCTGTATGATAAAATAAAATGAACAGCATCCAAAATAGTGTATGAAATTGAAATGTTTACTTATGTTATTTAATGTAAACATGTCTCTATAAGTAAACATTTGAAGTACAAATGTTGTTTAATGTTCATTTTATAAAACGAAAATGCATTAATACTATAATAAACTATGAATGTATAGTGTTCTTGCTTAAATTTTTAATCTAAATCTCAAATGAGTAAACAGCAAAAAATAAATAATTGCGCAATGTAATAATTATTTCAATTGTTATATTCATAAGTAAATTAATGTCAAAATAAGAGCTTATTATTGGGTTGTCCGGAAAATAATGCAGGATTTTAAGTTTTCATTAAAAAAAATCTATATAAAATATTCTGTTTACGTTTACAGGATTACTCATTTGTATGAATGTCAACACTTATTAATCCTCTTCCAAATGATATTGTTTGTTTACCTCTGTAGCATTCCGCTACTTGGAAATAATTCAGTCATCCTTATAATGTCAAAGCGAGAATTTCGTACGATTTTCTTTTACGAGTTTAAACTCGGCCGAAGCGGAGCCCAAACGGCTAGAAACATTAACCAAGTCTGGGGCGAGGGTTGTGTTAATGAGTGCACTGTGCAAAGGTGGTTTAAAAAATTTCGGGAGGGAGATTTCAGCCTTGAAGATGAAGAAGGTCGTGGAAGGCCTTCCTCTCTTAATGATGATGTTCTGCGATCAGTGGTGGAAGAAAACCCCAAAACAACTGTTCGAGAACTTGCAGAGCAACTCAAAGTCAGTAAAACGACCGTCGCTGACCACCTCAAGGCGATTGGAAAAGTGAAAAAACTCGAAAATTGGGTTCCACACTCATTAAACGATCGCCAAAAAATCAGCGCTTTGATGTTTGTGCATCACTTCTTTGTCGAAACAAAAATGACCCATTTCTGGCCAGAATTGTTACATGTGACGAAAAGTGGATTCTCTACGATAACACTAGACGTTCTGGACAGTGGCTCGACAAAGGAGAAGCTCCAATACATTTTCCAAAGCCCCCAACTCATCAAAAAAAGGTAATGGTTACGGTATGGTGGGCTTCATTTGGTTTAATACACTACAGCTTCTTAAATCCTGGCGAAACCATCAATGCTGAATCATACTGTAACCAAATTAATACCATGCATCAGAAATTGGCAGTAATGAAGCCCTCTTTGGTCAATCGGAAAGGGCCCATTTTGTTGCATGACAACGCTCGACCACATGTGTCACGTGTAACGTCACAAAAATTATTGGAGCTTGGCTATGAAACTTTGCCTCACCCACCCTACTCTCCGGACCTCTCGCCTACTGACTACCATTTTTTTAGACACCTGGACCACTACTTACAACACATAATATTCAAAAATCAAACGGAACTGGAAAATGCATTTATTGACTTTATCAATTCTAAAAATTCTGAATTCTACTCAGACGGAATTAATAAGTTACCAACACGTTGGGAGAAATGTATTGAGAGTATGGGAAATTATTTTGATTAAAGAACATTGCTTTAAAGTAACTAGTTTCTTTTTTTTTGTTTAATACCAAAATCCTGCATTATTTTCCGGACAACCCAATAATAGGGGGCTTCAGTGGCCACAATGTTAGGCAAAGGTCTCGGGTTGGAATCCAGCAGCCTTGCATTCGAACCTGACATACTTACAAATGGGCTTTTTTTTTTTCAAAAACACCGACACCCCGAGGGTTGATATGAGCTCTGATGTTGCGAACTCTCATTTAAAAAAAGCTTATTATTTTTTTCTAATATTATGCTATTTGTATGTTTTTATGTACATAAATTATATGGGACGTTTAATAATAGCTGTAATGACTGTAATGGCTCTTTAAAAAATTATTAATTTTAAGGTAAATTATAAAATTTACTCATCAAAATATTTTGCCATTACCAACTCAACCATAAAGATCGTTTAACCATTATACTTGTTTATTTTAAGAGATATAAGCGATAAATAGATACAAAATCGCAGAATACTGTTAAATCTTTGTCTTAAATAATTGTTTATAACTACTAATATCATTTTTTAAAAATATTTTTGTTTAAATCGAGTTCTATCAGATCATTATAATATAATGGAATACTTACAATATACCGTTGTTGTAGAGAAAGCAGGTAGAACTGTGGGTCATTCCTATGCAAGAGACCTTGATGAAGGTGAGCTAAACAGCTTTGAATCGTGCAGCTGGTAGTTTTCTGTCTAGGTTTTTATCGTCACTAATAAAAAAAAGCTTTTTACTTTTCTTTTTTCTTTTATTTTCTTTATTTATATTAATTCATACATTTAAATTTCACATTATTGTTATCACAACTTGTCCAGTGAAGTATTTTGAACAAAAAATCACATTTCTCAATAAGTTTTTTTATATGTACATTATTTTTTAATTACTGACTTGCATGACTTATATTAACGAGAAATAGTTTGAATTGTGAAAATGATCTTTTTTTGGCGAGTCTCAATTCTAATTCAACTGAGTGTGCATTGTTTTTGAACAGCTTGAAATCATTTTAATGAATGAAACTAACAGAGAAATATATTATCCAACTTTTTTTTTAATGTGCATAATTGTTTAATAAATGTTTATTATAATTTTTTAATACCAGATCACCATATTTTTCCTATCGGAATATACATTGGAACTATTAAAATTCCCCCTAGATTTGTTCTTATCTTTGATTGTTATTTAAAACAACACCGAATAAAATAACAAAATTATTTCAAATATAATGGCTTATTTTGAAGTAAAATGTTAAATGTACATTGAGTTTAACTTCTGTTCTTCCCCTATACTTGTTTTTTTTTGTGGGGGGGAGGGGGCATTTTTGAGAAAACTTTTATTTTTTGACTAGTTTCTCATGATCCAAAATATTTTGATTTTACTCTCCATGATAACTGGATATGAATAGGAACTTAACTATTTCAAATGGCAACATCAATGTACATTTTTTAAAGTGTTTTTGACACTGAATTCAAAGGTGCTGTTTTTTTAATTATGATCATTCATTCTTAAGTTATTCGCTAAAAACTATTTGCAAAGATTGTTTTTTAGATAAACGAAAACTTCTTAACCAATTTCTTTACCTAAGCCTACATCCTATCCTTATAAGGATCCTTTCCAACCAGTGAATTGATATATGGACTCTCTAGATGTAACTCATGAAATCGCAATTCAGCTTAGAGAAAATGTCTATTGTGGAACCCCTATAAGCCATACCTTGGAAAATGCAAGTTTTTGTAGAAGCACTTTTCTCGATGCCTCTTCGCACACCTCTTGGTTTAAGAATTGGCTTACCAAGGCCAAGCTTACCTGGCTAATGCCTCACATTCACAGAGGAAGGCCGATGTCTTGCCTCCTGACAAAGTCGGCTTGTTTCTGACTCTGCTTTGCCGTCTTTTTTAGATGGTAGTTAAGAGGGCAGTGGCCGGTAAAGAAGCCTATAATTGTACTCAAATCCTACCTGCTGAGAATAGAGGAGTTCCTTTACCTTCCTTTTTGAGACATTTATAAATTAGCTTGCTTCATACCTTGTTCCTTTGCCTAGTGCTTGAGTTTTTCAAGCCTTTCCAGTCCCACCTTAAGCACGCTTTTCAGTGCAGATAGCTGTGGTTCTGGTCCCATGCTCCATTTTTAGCTAGTTGATCAGCTTGGTCATTTCTTTCTATACCTTCATGTCTGGAAACAACCCTGCTTTGTTTTCTTCACCCATAAGGCAGTTTAGGCACTCCCAGACAAGTTTGGAGTTGAAAGCATATACATTTAGTGCCTTTATATCTGCCGTCTAAGAGTAAATCTATGCACCTTTCAAATTTTTCTTTATTTAGTCCTGTGCACAGAGTGGAAACTGCATGTTGCATATTCGAAGGGGATTTGCTAGGGTATCTTTTTAAAAAGATAGTTCCCACTCACAGTCAGTTGTTTTCAACAATATGGATTTCAAGCTTATAGCACATCATCAGGTTGAAGGAATTTACAGCCACATCTCTCAACATGAATTATAAGAGTTGTTTTCAATGGTCCAGATTTCAAGATTATAGCTCATCATCAGGTTGCAGGAATTTACAACCACATCTCTCAACTTGAAAACAACTAACTGTAAGTAGGAACTACCTTTTTAAAAAAATTGAACAACACATTCACTCCACCATTTATCATTTATATTTGCTAGGGTATAATTCGGCCTTTTTATCCCTATCCCTAGGCCCTGTTCCATCTTCGATCCATCCATGCATCCATGCCTTCCAAAGGTCCAAAATCCAAAAACAGATAAAAACTTCACTTTTAAGTTCATTAGTATTGTGGCTCTAGGTTGTTCATTATCTCTATAGTAAACCAATTTACCTGTATTTAATGGTATCTTTATTACCATGCTCTCATTTACCCAAGGTTCCTGGATCAGGTGTTTCCAGGTGAAAAGATGGCTGAGAGCATCACTTACCACCTTTGCATGGTGTCAATTCACCTGGACGCACTCCAGGGCTTGAGGCTTCTTTTCCTCTTCTCCCATTTTTTCCTTCTCAGTTGTTGTTAGGGGATACAGGGGGTGGCCAAGTTTACCACACTTTGGCTCTGTGATAAGGAGAGGTCTGTCTTTTCTTGTGTTCCCTTCACTTTTCTCCATCATTCTTGTTTTCTTCTTGAGACAATTCTGTCTCTTTTGATGGATTTGTTTTTTATTCAGGCGCTGTCACTTTTTCTGCTCTCCTGATACATCTGGGGTTGGTATAGTGCTATCTCCTTTTGTGAGCTTTTCAATCTCTTCAGACTCGCCAGGTATTCTCCTGATTCTTTACATCATTCTTTTTTATTTAATGTATAGCTTTGTTGTGTGAAATTGAAATTTACTCTGTCCATTTTTCTTAAGGCTGACCCATGATCAATGGTCATAGTAAGAGTCATCTTCTTTCCTTTGAACAACTTTCTAGGCCTCTACTTGGAAGACTTTATTTTGTTTGTGAGGAAACCAAGGATCTTTTCATTTGTGTCCTTTTTTATTATGGCACAATTTGGGAAGTATCGTAGCACAACCTCTGGTCATGGGAGGTCTCTATCCACTACCACCCACAGCCTGTTATCTGGAGTTCACTTAACAAATCTAGACTTCCCTCTAACCCCGCAGACCTCAGCTGTTCCACCTTGGCTTTGGAAATTTGGTTTCGATAGATAGACAGGAAAGAAATAAGAAGCAATATATTAGATTATATAGGACATATTTGTGAGGGTAGGAAAGGTAGAATAACTCACCTTAGGTTTTAGCCCTGCTAGCCTACTGATCCTCTTGGTTGTTCGGTTAAACTTAGCCCCCTTCGACCTTCATACACCAGCGTTTCCCAGGGAACACTGTTGAATTCAGTGTTAAAAACCCTTTTTAAAAATGTATATTGACGTATATCTTATTAAAAACATGACATTAATAGGATCCACTTCACTCTATTTCTATTAAAACAATTTCATTTACATAGTTATAATGTCATCAAAACATTTCAAAAATGCATTTTTTTCTTTTCTTTTTTAATTTTTTGTCATAATGTGGACCTAATAATTGTCACACTTGGACATGCTCAAAGTAAATATTTTGCTTGATATTTAAATTGTTAATTTGTCTAACTTTCACATTAATTTTTCTTTGTTATTTTCATAGCATTAGTAGCATTAGCAGTAGTATTTTATTTTAAATTCTACTTACACGAAAATAATGTAGATTCATTTGTTTAAAAAGATATGAAATTATAAATCTATTCTGCTTTTTTTATTTTATTTTTTTTACTAATAAAATTTAATAATTGTCTTTAAAAAAAAAAACATATTTTCAATCTTATCAGCATGTCCAGTTTTACTTGTCACAATTTATGGTTTGCTTTTTGAAACATTCTACTATCTGCAAAATTAATTTCATAGACATTTCATATTATATTTGTTCATAATTTCAAGGAAGTGTTTGTATAATTGATGAACTTTTTCATATCTGTTGAGAAAGTGAGGGAGAGAGAGAGAAAGAGAGAGAGAGAGAGAGTGATTTCTATAAAATTAATTGGAAGTTTGGATATTACTGAGCTATCATCATCACCTTAGATGATATTAAACCACAGCATTTTTTTATTTTTTTAACTAAAAAATTTCAAATACAACATGCCATAAAAAGAAATATAAAGTAGCTAGATTTGAATTTGTATCTCTGTAGAAGAGCCAATAGAGAACTCTTATGCGCCATATATGACATGACGTCTAATGTGATAGGAAGGCTAGATTCAAAGCTGATTAGCTCTCAAAAATGGTATAATTACCAAAACAATAGCCTCATAAAAATAGGCCTACAGAAAAACTTGTATTTTGTATAATAAACTCTTGGTGTTTGTTTACTTGTGATTTTTTATTGGATTCTAAATAGTTAACATTTTAGAACTTATCTTTACCTATTTAAAAAACAGATATTAAATTTTTGAACAATTTTTTTAAACATTTTCTTTCTGATACCTATTGATAGCACCAAGCTTTCTTCTACTCATTAATTTACAAAATATTGTAGTACAATTGTGATTTAAAAGGCATTATTTTGAAACAATATATAATAGTTCTTGTATATGATAGAATTTTTTTTTGCATCTGATTTATATATTTCAAAAATCTTATAGTGTTTTGAAATGTTTTTCTAGGTGATTTTGATTCAAACACATAAATACAATTCTTGTCAAAATGCCTGGGATATTTAATGAATTAAATAAAATTTTGCTTTATAACTTAATTCCTTTTTAGCGCAAATTTTGTGATATGAATTTCACTGGTTTCCTTGTTACATTACAGCTGTAGACTTTGTTTCTAGATGCCTATTATTTCACTTTAATGATTAATAATAAACCAATAACAGGTTAGAATTTGGTTATTTTATGTGCATGTCTGCAAAAATTTCCAAATAGCGTTTATTGCTGCCAACATGAATTAGTGATTTATGAACAGGTCAATTCAAAAACATCTTACCCGCTAAGACAAAAGTAACTAACACAATGTGAAAAAAAAGGCAAGGTTTTATATTACCAGCTCGCATGGTTGCCTGCAAATATATTCTTGGGGACTGGTACCACATATATATATTTTACAATTTCAATTTGAAATAATGAGATTGAGTGGTTCATTATTCAAATGTCTATACTGTTATTATTGTTGAAATTTGTTTTGCCAAAATTATTGCACATTGCTTAATTCCATGGGGTTTCGCCACTTAGTAGGTATACAAAACAAACAGATTAAATGGTTCCAACATAGACAGGGTGATCTGAAATGAGTATGAATAAGAATATAAACAAACATTTTCCTTTTTTTAGTCTTAATCCATTTCATTTGATAATGATTATTACAACTATTATCACTATTACAATAATAAACAGTTGTGTTGTGCGTAATAATAGATGGTTTATTATTAAATTCCTTTTGCCATTCATTACTAATGTGATGACCAATGATTTGTGGTCTATTTTGTACACCAGCTCCTTGATCATATCCAGTTCAAGACAATACACTTATCGTTATTTGGGAGATTTCTTTATCTGCAGCGTGATGAAGTCGTTTGGTTATTTCGAATTATTTCAAGAAGGCTTAGAAGCCGAAATATGTCTGGCAGGCCAAAACAGTGAGGATAGGTCAAAATTATTAGGAACAACCCAACAGCAGATCGCCGCAAACCCCAAGAGGAAATCTCACAATTTATACTCAGTATAGTTAAAAAGATACGATTGTAAAAGAAGAAAAGGCAACTTCCTTTACTGAAAAAATGCTCCCATCAATGAATTATAATGGAAGATGTTATAAACCTATTCTGTTTTACTTGACTTTGTATTGTCTTTAAAAATACAACAAATCAAATAATCAAACAATACAAAATACAGATTTAAACATGTAATAGCCACAATATCAATAATCAGGATATATCCATCAGAAAAAATGTTAAAATAGCATGAGACTAGCTTTGTATTGTTCATTTTTGATCACCCTGCATAATTTTAAATTTTTTGTTCTACACATCTTAATATATTTATTAGCTAACATGTTGTAATATAAGTTTGATATGACAGATTTTCTTTGCAAGAAAGTAATATCACAACATGCTTTCTAATTTATTGCACACTTTTATATGATGCTTATATTTCACTTTTTTTCTTATTAAAGTCGAAGGTATATATTAGAACATGAGTAAATGAGGATATATTTATATTCTAGGACTACCAGAACCACCAGTTGATATACAAGTAGAGCCAGGACCACAAGATGGTACACTGTTGGTCACATGGCAGCCATCGACATCTATTTCATCTCCAGCTGGGACACTGGTGACTGGTTACGCTGTATATGCAGATGGGAAAAAAGTCACTGATGTAGATAGCCCCTCAGGTAAGCAAAGCTAAATAATGTACAATGAATGATTATATAATTATAATAAACAATAATAATAAAATGGTTTCTATATATATAAAATAATATGTAAAACACCCACTACGGCTAATGTTTACAACCGTCTGCCAGAGTATGGGTAATAAGTATTAAAATAAACAAAACAAATAAAATTTCTACCAAGTAACCAGAAAAGTTCATGCCGGTTTAAAGGGTTTAATATTAATAATTGTCAGAATTAAAATTAATTTAGAAATATTTTATTCAGGAAAATAGTTTCTATCGGCATCTATAATCTTTTCCCAATGAGTTTAGCCCTGCTATGCTCTCTTTTATAAAAGTTTGGGTCTCGGGACTTAAAAAATAAATTCAGCTCATTTTCCAGCTGGTGGCGATTATTGAACTCCCGAATCATCATATGATCATCCATTGTTAAGAAAAGGTGAAAGTCGGATGGGGCCAGTCTGGAGAGTACCGAGGTTGTTGTAGGACTTCCCAAACCAAGCTTTATCACCTCCTTTGTCATTCTGGCCCTATGAGGTCTTTCGTTGTCCTGGTGATAAATTACATTTTTTTTGTTCGAGACCTGGTTATTTCTGGGCCAGAGCAACAGATACTTGTTGCAGTTGGCTTGAGTTATTTCTTCTGTGATGGTCTGGCCACGTGTAGTTCATAGTTTCATTCAATCCCTGCCGTACTCCAGTAAACACAAAACATCAACTTTGTTGGTGAACATTTGGTTTTTGCAACATTGGGACAAGGACATTTGGTGACAACCAATGGTACTACCACCAGGTGTATTCAGAATCCGTTTTTCCTCGCTCATGACAATTCGGTCAAAAAAGTCTACTTTGTTCTCTGAAAGCAATAAAAATCAAATGTTTAGAGCCTGAAGCTTGTTACAGTCGGTCAATTATGAGGAACCCATTGCTGAGATTCCACATCTTCCCAAGTTGATGCTAGAGCGAAGGGTTTCATCGCTTACATTGAGCACTGGCAAGCTCTGGATATGTTTAACTCGAATCATGTTTGATTGCTTTCCCCAATTCGTCATCATTAAAGACAGAAGGCCTAGATCATGGTTCATCTTCAATCCCCTTATTCTCAGAAGGAAATGTTTTGAACCATTTTAACTAAACAGGAAAAATTTTTGCAATTTTAAAAAGTTATAGATAGCTTATAGATACTTCCAATGCTCCATTTCTGAACCCCAATGCTCCATTTCTGAACCCCAATGCATCTTTCATGAGCAAGTTAAGGCGCTTATAAGTTTACGAGGTTTCTGGGTCACAGGATCTGTGTGTATTCCATATTATATTCTGACAATTCTTTGTAAAAATTACGCCAAAGTTGTCTATCGATAATCGTAAGTCTTGTACCGTTCATGAAAAGCTGGTAGTTGGGTAGTGAACAGTTGGTTGTGATGCTAAGTGCGTGTGTCTTTTCAGCATTAAATATGACTTAATTTTTCCAAACCTAGATGCTTCTAAGTGCCGCATTTGTTATAAATTCTAAGTTGAAATTTTTTAACCTGAAACAAGAAGAAGGCCATTGGCGAACATAAATTGTACAAAAGATTCCAACAGCCAGGGCCACAACACATCCCTGAGAACAGCTTTGGTTAACTTTCTTCTTGTTACAGAAGAATTTGTAGCCAGATATGAGGTCCTGTCTTCAAAATAATTTTGTACATGTGCACATAAATTTCTGGGATAATTGTTACTTTTAAGTTCTCTTAGCATGCCAGGCCGCCAAAGCATCCATCCTCCTTTCACATTATTAATACTTATTTTTTTTTAGACCGGATTATATAAAAGCCTTCATCAGTGAGTAGTGCTAGACTAAGGTATCAAAGCAAATTGCTTATCACTTAAAAGATATCTACTTCGATGAAAATGTAGGATGTGTTCTATGAATAGCTTTTTCCAATTCCAACCATTTTCTACAGAACGGGATGAGAATAATCTTATATAACTTGATGCTTATATTGCCCAATATTTTTTTTTCATTTGAAGGTTGTAGATTCACATTAAATTGATTAAATTGCTAAGTTTACAATGTACTGTATGGTATTTAACCTTTTCAGTGGATTATTTCTTTTTTTAGGCGACCATGCTCTAATAGACATAAACAAGTTATTGGGATTGAACCCAAAACAAGTAACCGTTAGAACAAAATCACGAGATAACCAATCTTCAGATAGTCTTCCTACCCAAATACCTCCACATATATTGAAAGGAAAACAACAAAACGGAAAGGTACCATTATTTTTCTGCATGTATTTTTATTCCAGGTTTAGGCATTCAGAATATGTTACAATGGACAGCATTCTATCGGCGAATTCAGATTGTTGAAAAGCAACAAGTACTGAACACAGGATATAAAATTTTGTGTACATTAAGAGAAGAAAGAGAGAGTGAAAGTGATAGTCATAGTGATAGTGAGAGAGGAAGGGAGGGAAAATATGGTATGGGTACATCTATTATATGTCAATGCACAACAGCACTCAAAAAAAAATTTTCCTTATAGAAGTTAATTGAAATGAGCTCTATTGTTACCATAAGTGCTCGATAATATTTTTCTCACCTACACCTGAACTGTTTTTCTTTGCACTTCTTTTATTTTTTCACCATAGTTTTTAATTGTATACCTCTGTAAGACTTATATTTGGATAATTCCTAATAGTATAATAAGTGAAAACAAATAAGATTAAGTTCTTTTAAGGAAATACATTTCGTTGTAAAAGAGATTAAATTACTGTTTCAAAAAATTGGTTCAAGTAACTCTATTCACCTGTTGGCCATTTTAGAACTAGTTTTAACTTCAGTTTACAAATTAAATTATAGTTTATCAAAAAAATAAATAAGTAAATACAAATAAAATAATAAAATTTCATGAATAACCAACACCAAAGGTGTACTACACAGTTATCTCAAAAAAAGAAAATTGTTAAAATCCTGCTATGCACTAAAACTGATAATGAACCATAACAAATGCACTACTACTAATACAGTAAATCAACATTATTTTATTTTTTTAATTGGCAACATAAAACTTTTAGTAAAAAAGAGCACATAATTTAACATATGATGCAACATATGTTAACAGATAAAACAAAGTATTTATAATTTGTGATTTTTTTTAACTTTTACATAATTGTGTTTTTATAATTCTTTTGTTTTATTTTTACATTAAATTTTTTGGTCGTTGTGGGAATTTACACCCATCATCAGCATATTATTATTATTTTTTTTTTTTTCATTATATATAGTTTCTTTCAAAAGATATTTTTTTTAAAAGACAATGCTTGGCCATGCAACTTGTTAATGAAAAATGGTTATATATCTTTTAAAAGAAACTAGATAATGGAAAAAGAATTTTTTTTAAATAAGGTGCTGATTATGGGTGTAAATTTCCGAAATGTCTAAAAAAAATTAATGTACAATAAAGCGAAAAATTTAATTAAAAAAACCACAACGATTTTTTTTTTTTTCACCGATTATAAATAGTATAAAAAATACAAAAAGTCATTAAAAAAATACGTTACATAATAAAAATTAAAATATATATGTAAAAAATTAAATGCTGATTTTTACAAGACTTGCAGAAACAAAAACAAAAAAAGATAACTTTATTTTTTAATTTGAACACAATATACTACAAACATGTTTATTTATTTTCCTAGTGTAATACTTGACGAACAAAATACATTTAATTTGAAAACGTAATGACATTAACTCTCATGATATATTTTTTAACCCTGCAGCAGGCGCGTAGTGGTACTGCATACCTCCATTTCTCTTTTATTGTATTTTGAATTTTTTGGGGAATTTTGTTCAAATTTTGCCAAAATGGTTAGTATTTGTTTATCCTGTTTTTAAAGGATAGAAGTTATTTTTATGTTGTTTTTTTTTTTTAACTTTTCTTTATTTAAATCACTTCTGAGCCTTCAATGAAAGGCCACTTTCATTTTTTTTTTTTTTTATATAATTGCTCATTTTATTTTCAAAAGCAATAACCTCTCAAATACAGTCCTACAAAGAGAACTTTTAAATAATTTGGCTCACAGTTTGCTGAAAAATCAGTTGCAGGTAAAAAATCTTCCAAAATATGTCTTTGTTTCTTTCCAAATATCTTTTTTTTTTTTTTTAATTTTTTTTTGATTGGCCTTATGATCTTGCATATTTAGCCATAGTACGAATTCTTGTGTGTTCAAATTGGGGGTTATCAGGAAAAAAGGGCCAGAGGCGACGGTGGGAATCGAACCCACGACCGCGGCGTGAGAGTCTCTCATGCTAACCACTCGGCTACCGCGGTCCCCAAAATATCTTTGTAATGATCCCCAAAATGTAAGACCTACCTCAAAATCATACCGTTGGACAATTGAAAAGGACAATGAAAAAATAGACAGTCTGAATCAAAGCTGCAAGTTCATATTTATGTGGGTTAAGGGACATGTTGGGATCCTGGGAAATGGAAATGCAAACAAAGTGGCAAAAAGCTGTGGTGACCCTGCATAACCCAGAGATACTAATCAGCCCAGAAGACATGAAGAAAAAAAAGTGAAAAATATGTTATCAAGAATGGCAGAGCAGCTGGACTGAATTGACTGAACAATTAAAAAATATAAAAAGTTCGGTCAAACCATGGCCGTGAAGAAAAAAAAAACCATGGCTTAAGATAGGCCACACACTACACAGGTCTCGCTCATGGCCATCTTCTAGTAACAAGCTGATGACAGTCTGTCACCTACTAGCGGACTGCGGTTTTTTAAAAATAGTGAACAGTTTGGCCTACCCTCAGATAAAAATATTTTAATGCAGTGCAATAATTATTGGGAAAACTTATTAAATATTGAGAGTTGTGAATGCGTATACTCTAATTTAATCTGCCTCTCATATTTCATTTATTACAATTACAGATATATGTATTTATTAGAGAGAATGTTGACTGAATGAGTTTGAATGAAAACAGACCGATCGACAGAGTATCCAAATATCTCGATGGCCTGTTATAGGTTTAGTTATTGGGAGGGATGAATGAGGAGTGGCCATTGGCAGAATACTTAGTACCCCGATAGTCATCTTATATGTTTTCAATTGTAAATAGTTAAGTATGTAGTAATAATTTAGTATGTATATATTTTTAGAAATAATAACAGTGGGGTATGTCGATTCACTTTTTGTACATGATCATGTAACTTGTAAATCACAGAATCAATGCGTAGAACCATCATTTACAAAACCATATATGTATATTAGTGTAAAATATTACACACAATATTCTGGAAGAATGATGATGGATGTATGCATAGTGTAGGCTACGAGTGAATGATGATTGGTTACCATTGGACTATAGAGTAACATGGTAGTCCGTCATATAGTATGCTTGTTTTTTGTATGACTGATAAATGGATGCCAAAATTGATGTGATAACATGTGAAGGGTGCAAAGAAAGTGCCCCAGATATAAGGAGCTAGAAGATAAAAATGCAGAGGAGTATAATGCAGAAGATGAACAAGTGAAAAATATGGCTAAGAGCCGACTATGACTTTGCTGTTTGTTGGTGAAAAAATGCGAACTGAGTACTGCACTCCTGTAATTTTTGGATGCATGTCCGCTGCAGGGTTAAAGAAAACTGACAATATCCTAACCCAAAATAACTTTTTTTTTTTTTAAACACTGACATGTCAGATCTGAAAAAGAGGACTGACGTAACTTAAACATATGTTGATCATCTCAAGATCTGCTGCAACTAATCATTTATTATTGAAATACAGGGTGAAACACAGGGTGTATGGGGATACTTTCAAAATTGGCTACAAAATGAGGACAAGCCTTTAATTGATTCTTCCAAGATCCTGGCCAGTGTTCCATTTGCAAAAGTAATGACAGCCTATTTTTTTTACAGATTTCCATTTTCTAGCTGATAGAGTGGTGAACTCAAATTTTGATGATTACTTGCACAAGATGTTGTAAAACATTTGGCTATGGTGAAATAGTTTGGTTTAATTGAGCAGCCAAAAAATTGAATAATTTAATAATCCATAGACAGATTTTTTACACATTGAATTTTGCAAGTTGTCAATTAATACAGTGGCATACGTATAAACTCACATATAATATTTTTGCGCGCATATTGTTTTTCTTATATATAGCAATGCATACAATGCTCATTTATAATTAACATGCCTGCTCTCTATATGCTTTTTATATTATAACGCAGATAAATTTTAGCGATTTTTTTCTGCATTTAGCCTTGTAATGCTTTCATAACCTGCAGAGTATAGGTTTGGTACTTATTGTCATACAAGGTTAAATTCAAAATACGCAATAGTTTTATTTGGCTTTTTAGACTGCAATATTATAGCAGTTTTTAAATATTTACATAACGAATTGCTACTAGATTAACAAAATAACAATTATACAGTACTTTTATCAAATATAAAGCAGTAAAATGTATCGATAGTGAATGTTCTTATAGGAAGATATAGTTATGTTGAAATGCAGTTAACGTTATAGTAAAATGACACTAAAGATTTTTTTTTTTTACAACGAACTCGATCCAAATAGGATTATTAACCTATGTATACAATTTGCAGCAACAAGAAGATGATAGAAGAACAAGGTACGGGTCGATTCCACCCCACATGAGACATCAGCATAGACCAGGTCAGGTTATTGAAACAGAAGAGAACCTAAGTGATAAAGAAATATACCCAAATAACCACATGAGCATACCAGCAATAGGTACAAATATTTGTTACTTATTTAACAAGTAACTGACTAATTTTCTACTTCTAACTTCATTTCTGGTTTGTACGTTAAACTCAAAGCTTCTGTTTGATTAATTTTTAAATTATTTTCTAAAATCACCAGAAAATATTTATTGCATTGACTTTTAAGATTTGGCTAATCAAAGTATTGATGTCAATTTACCTAACAAGTGCTCAGACCACCCCCAAAACCTGTCATCGTTTTCCTTTTTTCACCGTAACTTTTTAAACAAATGAGAAATGAGGGTATTTTTCTTTTTCTTTTTTGTTTATCTCTTTCTTCTATCACATTGTATATATACTTAATAATATTGTCCCGAGTTGTTTAACTATTTTCAGCTGTAGTTTAGTAAATTTTCTGACTTAAATATTTAGGATTAATTACTAGGACAAGTACTTCAAACATTAAAGTTAAATTAAAACTAAATATAATTCAGAAAACTGACTTAGTACCACATAATAATATTATTTTGTTTTGAGTTACTTTTTTTCAGTTAAAACTATAAAAACAAAAATTTGCACTAGATTTTTTCAACTGCATTAATTTTCATACATTAAAAATTAAGTCAATCATTTTTTACTTCTTTTCTTTAAATAATAGCATAATAATTAATAAGCACAATAATTAATAATACATTAAATTACATAAATTCTATAAATTTTAAATTAAATTCTATAAATAATTATATAATTGATGATTTTAAAATTTATGAATGCATGTGAAATATTTTATTATCCTTTTTATTTTATTGTTATTTTTTTACAATGCATGAAAAAATATGATAAAAATAATATCAATTTTTTAAAACTGTTTGGTATTTTATTATAGAAATCACTAAAGATACTGGAAGTGAAGGCAACTTCAGTGAAGAAGACTATTTAGATAGACGTTCTGGAGGAAGGGGGCATTTTGACACCAAAGGGGGAGCACGGGGTCGACCCCATCATCGTCAAGATATGGCACATCACCCCAGACACCACAGAAGAGATGAAAGGTATTCAATAAATATCGTTTAAACTGATTAAAACTTTAAATATTGTAATTGCAGGGACCAATTTTACATGGATCGTGGAGAGGGAAAGGGCCGATTTGAAAGAGAAAGGGAAAGAGAACGTGAAAGGGATAGAATGCCAGTCGGCGGTTTCAGAAATCCTAGGGGCAATCAACCTCCTCCACCTCAAAACCCGAGAGACAAGCGGACTAGACTGTTTGTAGCCCTTTTCGATTACGATCCGGAAAAAATGTCACCCAACCCTGATGCGTGTGAGGAAGAGCTACCATTTTTAGAGGGTGATACAATCAAGGTAAATTTGACAAAACAAATTTTATGGTTGTTTCAAATGAAATAAGATTTGAATATTTTATCAGTTGAATATCAAAATGACTCAAATTTTCTGCACTATCCTCACCCATTCCTATCCCTATTTCTAGAGAAAAAAAATGAGATTAGCTAACCTGTAAAATCCAAGTTTGCATTTATTACAGACAGGATTTAGTCTTAATGAAAATAATATTGAGACGTATTGAATGGGGTTTATAACATATCCATAAAAAAGAAATAAAACACAAACACCGGGTAATCAATATAAGCAATTATATTTACTGAATACAACCCCACAAACATATTGGTGAAACTTTGATACTCCAAAAAAATACAATATTTATAAGAAAATAATCTCACCAACCTTACCCTATGGAACACCGGCTAACACTGAGCAATTCACAACTCCCATTAGTTTGAGGGGAGTGGGCTTTCGTTTTTGTGTAATCAATATCGTTGATAGTCAGATAAAATCGATAATCGTGATGCTCAATTTTACCCTAATATTCTCTCTATCCATCAGTATACATAATACAGCACGAGTTTCGCACTGGTATATAAATTTCTTTAAAAAATTTAAAAAACTTAATTTTTCTTAATTAGTATTAACAAATCACAACACAATTATGCTGGGGAAAAAAGAAAAAATATCCTCTGGCTAATAGTTAATATATTCCTATCATATTTATTTTCTGTTAAAATAAAAAAATATATTATGAAGTCAATCAGTGGTGTCAACACTACTGATACTTGTAAAAAGTACCTTCTTAATAAATATGCTGAAACTAAATCACTATTAAATAATTTAACCTTTATTTTGTTTTTTGCTTTTAGGTCTTTGGTGATAAAGATGCAGACGGATTTTACTGGGGTGAATGCAAAGGCCAAAGAGGGTTTGTTCCTCACAATATGGTCATAGAGATGCAGGTAAACAATTTGTTTAAACACTACAATAGAACATTTTTAATTGATTAGACCAAAAGATGTATAATATTGTGGTATTGAGTGATTTGATCACAGCTAAATCATTCACAGTTATCCTTATATACCAATTTTCCTATTACTATGAAAAATATTATGACATCTTCACTGACACACCCTAAACATGGTAAAATTTTAAACGGCATCTGACCCATAAAAAGGAAACATGCAGACCAGGAAGACAGAAAATAGATCAATCTGTGACAAAAGTCACAAACAAAATTTCTTAATTTGTTATTTTGTAGGGAATGGATGGAGGTCCACCGGGTCAAAGTAAGGATCATAGGGATCGAGACAGATGGGCTGACATATATGCTAATATGCCAGTGAAGAAGATGATTGCATTGTATGACTACGATGCACATGAATTGTCCCCCAATGTAGATGCTGAAGTAAGTACCTATAGGATTACAGTAAATGTGTATTTTAATGAATAATGTGTTCATTATTTAACATTTAATTAAAAAATAATTATTTTAAAATTTTCCAATGTCTGGTGTATATTTCACTAGATCTTAGTGACTGTATTTATATTTAGGGTTCAAACAATATCTTTTTTTTAAATTTATTAATATTTAAAACTTTGACAATGTAAAGGAAGACTTTAGACTTTTAAAATTCACACTCCGCACTCTGTTCCACAGAAAAACATTAAATCATGCATACGTTACCTAGTCAAACCCTAACCCTAACGCTTCTCAATTTAACCCTGCTTAGGCTAACCTAAACCTTTCTAAACCCAACCTACTTAACCTAACTTAGCCTTGTCCCTAATCCTAACCTAATTCATAACCCTAACCACACCAAACAAATTTCTAACCCTAAACCTTTTTTAAACTTGACTTTATCCATAACTGTATCCAAACCTAACCCTAAACACTTCTCTATTTAACCTAACCTATCATTCACCGTAACTCTACCTTACCTAACCCATTCTAACCCTAAACCTTTCCTAACCTGAACTGTCCCTAATCCTAACGATAACCTAACCTTACCCCATCCTTAATCCTACTGTACCTAACATGCCCCTAACCCTAAACCTTTTCAAACTTAATCTAACCTGTCCTTAACTCTAACCCTCACTCTACCTAAATGAACTCACAACCTTAACCATACTCAACAAATGCCTAACCCTAAACCTTTCTTAACCTATCCCATTCTTAACCGTAAATATACTAACCTAACCCATCCTTCACTATAACCCTGACCCTACCTAGCCATGCCCAAGAAATACCTACCCCTAAACTGTTCCAAACCTAACCTACTTAACCTAACCTTACCCATCCTTAACTTTAACCCAAATCTTAACCCTAACTCTACTTATCCTATCCTATAACCCTAACCATACCCAATAAATACCGAACCATAAACCTTCCCTAACCTAACCTATTCTTAACTCTAATGCTGATCCTAACCTAAAACTTCCCTAGCTCTAACTCTAACATAACCTTACTCATTCTTAATCCTCCTACAACTAACTCACCCCTAACCCTAAACTTTTCCTAGCCTAACCTAATCTGTCTTTAACCAAAAGCATATTTTATCATAACCTAACCCTGAACCAAGCCTAACCTAACCCACCTCTGGTGTACTCCCTGGTAGCATAAAATCGATGATGCAAAAATATTTGTGTATCCATCCCAAAAACATGTCATGTCAAAAGAAACTTAGTGTGACTTTTATTAATTACATCTTTGTTGGATTAAAATATACATACACATATGTCAAATTATTAATACATTCTAAAATTAATCGTATATTCTGCTAGCTATTGCATTATTCTAGTTTGTGTTTTAAGTTCTGAAGAACTAGTTGCTTTTGCCTTAACTGCAGGTGGAATTGTCTTTCAAGACGGGTAACATCATCTATGTCTATGGCGACATGGATGATGATGGATTTTACATGGGTGAACTTGATGGAGTACGAGGGTTGGTCCCATCGAACTTTTTGACTGAAGCACCACCAGAGTACAATACTGGGCCGATGGGCCCAGGTTCGATGAAAGGAGGTCGTCCCCAGCAAAGGCCACAAATGGATAGAGGGCATGGGCCTGGAGCACGAGGTCCACCTCCTCCTCCACGGACAGACCAAAGAGGAGATCGTAGGAAAGGTAAGCAAGCTCTTATTAATAATTTGTTGGTAAAATATTTACAGGTCTCTGTGATATTAAATTCATACTTTTGTTAATTATCATATTTGTGGCCTACAGCAAAGAATTTAGTTAATTTCATTAACTTCCTTTGTAAAATTTAGTTATTATGATTTTTTCTTTTTTGCTTATGTGATTAATGATTTATCTTTCTGTATATTTAAACATAGTACAAAAATACAATTCTCTTTGAAACAGTTTTATTACAATATTTGATATTTGCATTGGATTATATAAAGGAATTTTGTAAGTTTTTAATTTTATCATTTAAAACTTTTTTTTTTAATTTTTTAAAGGCACAATGGCAAAGTTTACTTTGAGCCTAGTTTAGGAGAAATAAACCTCGTGTCCTTTCATCATATTTAGTAACAAGCGAGTTTTTCATCATCTGCTCCTTGTGGCAAACTGCCCCAGATACTCATTTTATTTTCTGTAATAACCATTACATTCATAGATAGATGATGATTACGAAGGAATGTAGATGACATGAAAAATCTATTATTATGGATAATCAATTTGTAATCTCAGGACTGTTCATGTCGATAACAATTTGTTTTGTGGTAAATGTTTGATATTCAATATTCTCAACAAATTTCGAGTGATATTTAAAGTTTTTTCTTTTCTTTATTTGTTAACTCCACCCCAGAAAAATAATCCTGTAGTGATTATGGTTAGTTAGTCTTGAATGAATTACAAGTAATAAATTTATTACAATAGACATAACATCACTATAAAAATTCAATGTTTAATTATTTGATCCTGACTTAGATAGTGGTAAAACAAATGTGGGTTGTGAAGTTTATTAATCTATATAATTTGTCCTTTTTTTAAACATTGGTTTAGTTTATTTGCAATAGGGTTTTTTCTTTTTTTGCTACATTAAAAATGGATACCACAAAGAGATCTATTATTTATTATAAAAAAAAAAATTAACCTTAATAATATTCATAAAATGTTTTGGAAGTAATCTCTAAATTTTATTAGTTGTTCCACTAACATACCCGTACTACATTTTACAGTTTTACCAACCTTTGTACTTATATTTCAGGCATAGTGACAATGTGCTATCATACAAGGGTTGATGATACTTGAACCCTTATGCTTTGCAATGCTTCATTGAAGCTAATACAAATTGGTAATTTGATGAGTAAACCAAACGACTGATTGAACTAAAAGTAAAAGCTCATATGATTTTTGGTTGGTGACTATTTGCATCGAGTGAGACTGTTGATATATAGGAGTGTGGTTAAAACCACACAATGGATATTAATTTATAATATTTATTATTACAATAATACATTTTGAAATTCTTAAACAATTACGGCGAAAATTAAACATGAGTGATGTGATTTTGCAATCGGAGGCAATTCATTGTATGTTTGTATGCAATTTGTTTATTTTTGTTTTTGCTTTAGATGTTTTGCTACTCTTTACGCTCTACGAAAAACTGTAACACATTAAGTGTAATTTTTAAGTTCTTTGGAGTTCTTTTTCACAATAATCTAGTATTGCTATGTGATTTTTAATTGCAAGCATCTGTAGAAGTCTTATTTGTTGTGGCGAATTTCTATTGCAAATATTAAGTGTTATTTTTTGCTATAATACTACCTGTTAATGTCACAAACATTTGTTCGTGAGCTTGTGTTTGTTTTCTGTGAGTGTGCATCTGTGTTTACATTGTTTCAAATATGGTTAATTTAATTTGATTAAGTAAATTAATTTATTAATTACTTGTTGTATGCGAAACAAATCAATCAATTATAACTGAGGTAGTTTTGGTTGAGTGCATTTTATTTTAATTATTCGTTTAATTTTACAACAGATTTTTAAAAAAATGAATTGAAGAAAACCTTCAAGCTTTATCCCAATTTTCAAAGAGAAAGAACATGTATATATTTCTTCATATAGTATTTATTCACTTATCGAATTTTACCTCATGCAGCTAACGAATAAAACGATTGCCAGTTTTAAACATGCCAGTAATATAAATGAAAATAATAATGTACATGCATCGTACCAATGTTTATACTTTTTTTTTCAGATAGTTTTATTTTATTTCTATTTTTTTGCACATATAATAACATGGTAAACAAGTTATTTTGTAATATCAGTTTGCCTAATAATGTCATCCAATATAGCTTTATTGGGTTTTAAAGATTTCAGTGATAACACTAATGTGCTCATTATTTGTTTCTCCACAGTTATCTAAAATGTAGAAATAAACGTACACAAGTTCACTCTCGACTTGCCATCTTTTGTGTTTCATGCTTTTTATATTTTGTCTAATTTAATAATTTTTGTTTCTTTAAATTTTGATTCTACCCTTGTTGCTCAACAAGAGAGAAAGAATTAAAAGCTAAATCAATCCACAAACAATAATGTTAATAGTTCTAAAATTATTTTGAACAAACCCATACTTTAAAAAAATTAAATAGTTTATTAATTTTTTTTTTTTTTTTTTTGTTAACATGACAGAATCGCGAATAATACATGTTCTTGTGAACGTTCAAGTTTTGCAAAATGACACTGATGTTAACATATGTGGTTAATTCTTTCTCTGTGTTATTTCCACTTTTTCACTTATTTTTATTTTTGTTTTATTTTATTTTTGTATTATTATTACGCCTTTTCGGACTTCTGTCTCTTTCTCTGTCTTTCTATCTGTATTTCTCTCTCTCTAGATGCCTGCCCTGTCCCACAAGTAGAGCATCGCCAGGTAAGACACTACACTTAACACTTCACTAACATCAAACAGGTAACTCTTCTACCATGGTTCATCAACACCACGAAACAGCTTGCATTATCCAATCATTAACATTTTGCAATTTCCAACATTTGTAGTTTTATATTTTGCTAGAAGGAAGGAGTAGCATTCATTTATTTGACTTCCTCGTCACTGCAGTATTATTATTATTATTATGGGATCATTTTATGCTAATTTCGTAGAATGCTTGTTATTTGTTTGGTTTAAAATATAATTATATAAATTATACGCTGTACGAAAAATATACATTTTCCTTTGTGATTGGATTAATCGTTACAATATTATCAGTATCTATAAAGCTAAAACATGAGAAGGGTATGTTTTTATTAAAAAGCACGATGTATCTATAAAATATCTTTCATGCACAATTGAGCTTCAGAAATTTATTTTACATATTATGTTTTTTTTATGAAAAGAAATGTTAATAAAATGCAAATAAGTTTAAATTGCTTTATTACAGATCTGCTTCTGTTTGAAAGCCTTTTTTATTTCTTTTTATTATTATTAAAAAATAAATAAACAGAAATTTTAGTTCTTACTAAAAACGTATTGCCTGATATTTCAAATTTATTGCTTCTTTTATAAAATAGTAGTACTGCACACATGTATGTTCAGATACAGTAATATAAGCATTACAACATTTAACCTTGTCTTTCAATACAACCTAATATGTATGTATTTTTATATACAGAACATCATACAATTTTCTTTATAAGACAGAGGTAATTTTTTAATAGAAATATTGCAATTTATATAAAATCTGTATCATAAGCTACCAATTGCTTCATTTCATTTAATTGAATGCAATTATTTCTCTTATTAACATGTATGTAGACTTTTCAAACTTGTTTTAATAGAACATTGTAAATAAAGTACCGTGTAGAATTATTGAAAAGTGGTCTACTATGGACATTGCTAAATTTGTGCCTTGTGACTCAAAATTATTTTGCATTTGGTTTATAATTACTTAATGATCAAATGACAATATTGGTGAGTTAAATTTTAAATAAAAGATATTTCACAGTAGGTGAAATATTTAAATTCAATATTTAACGCTCTCTCACGCTCTCTTTCACCACATCACCTCTCTTATAGAAATATAATTAGAAATTTACATTTTTTTCATTTGCTTGCTTTCTGCATTGACTACTTGATCTTATTGTTCTAAACTACTCTACCGATGTCACCATTTCAATCATCAATCAAATCAAACTATGTGCATTTTTTTCCATCAGTGAAAGGATTAAAACATGCTTTAGGATTATTAAATAGATAAACATTTCACCATTATGTGCGATCATTCTTACGTTTACTTATTTTCAATGTTGTTCACTGTAATGCATCATCCAATACAATTAACATCTCTTCATGTACAAAAATCTGTTTTAGTGTATAAAGTAAAAATCAACCCTTTTCCCATCCTACAAATCCCACTAACTACAATTATTGCCAGTAACATGCTAAAACAAAATATTAAAATATTTTTATTGGATTCATACATAGATTAGATTAGCTGTAGCCTCTTTTCAATCCGCGCACTGTGACCAGTGTTGGTCTATTGTGCATTTTAGTGCAGGAAATGTAAGCTCGACCAGTCTTAGAGGTACCACAGGGATTGGTATTGTGTCCTATGCTATTCCTTATCTGCCTAAATCGACTTTGCCAAGATAGCTGGCATACATTTAGCATTTAATCTCCTTGGCACAGAGTGCAATAGTGTCTCTGCTTGAAAAACAGTGGCATAATTGCCCAAGGTTTATACCAATTTTAACCCTTGGTTTATTTCTATAAATACCAGCCTCTAAACCATACCCATCTTTGGAGCCATCTATATACCAGATATGGTCGGCCTTAACTAGAATCCCTTTCTGCAAGTCTGATCAACCAGGTATTCTAATTTAAATTTTTTCGGCAAATTTGAATTTAGGGGGGGGCATCAACAGGCATCCCCAGAACCCTGTGTGCTTTAAGCTCCCCTAGAAGCTTTCGTTGCTCCTTGTTATGCGAGGCGAGTAAGCTATTGGAGGCTTTCACTGCGTTAGCCTATGAATTGTGGCTCTGACTTCTCCCTGGATAAAGTTACATAAGTGGTGATAGATTCAGAAAGACTTCCAGGGCAGCAGTGGGGGTCGTTCTCATTGCCCTAGTGATGCTCCGGCACGCTGCATTCATACATAGAGCAATGTTTTTTGTATTAAAACATATATTTTATACATGGCTAGATGTTAACAAAAAATGAAATAAATTGCAAATGATTCTGGAGTGGGTAAACAAAAAAAGCCTTCACAGTCTGTGTAAAATAGAGTGTACGCCATCAATAAAGGTAATTTTTTTTTTTTAAAGTTATCAACCACCTTAATTACTTGTACATTAATTGAGGTATGATCACGTGGTTTTCACACTTTCATTGTCTGTCCTTACACCGTTGTGATTTGTGCTGTAGAAGCGTGTTTAATATTTGCCTGTACATTATAATTAACCCTTAAAATGGTCATTTGTTGCTTTTAAAAAACAGTAAAAATGGTGTGGAGCTTATGATTTATTGCTGATTAAAACTATCAGTAACATTAAATAACAGAATATATATATTTAATAATATATATCTCATCATAAGATATAAAATTCTCGTCTTTTCAATTTTTCTTATATAAAGTGATTTTTTAAATTCTTTATTAATAAAACTTATTTTCTCTTCTATTGTTGTTACAACAAAACAATTCATTATCATCCTACATCATTTTTAATTTAATTATTCTAGAAAATAATGTTACTTAATTGGTGGTTGCTTTGGGAATTCAGTCTGAACTTCCATGATTATTCAGTCTGAACTTTAATGATGCATTTATATCACAGTCTTTGGTTATGATTTATTTTATTTAAGCAAGTGATTGTTTAAAAAACTACCTATTGCAGTTTTTTGGTAGGTGTGTTTATTTAATATCAATCAGACCAGCCTCTACATAATATTTATATTATGTGGCATAACCAGTTAAAATGAATCGTATTAGAAAGAAGTAAAAATAAATTTTGAATGTTGTGATGAACTGCAATTAAATTTTCCCTTGTAAGTTAAGTCTTTTCATCCTACCGAAATTAAATGTATATTATAAACTTACCTTTCTGAAAGTCCCCCGGACCATTACGACCAAATTACTGCAGGATTTAACAACAAATCGTTTTTCTGACATCTACAATGTTGAACTAAAAACAACATAATTTCATAATTGAAATGATCCCAAAAATCATCTAAGCTGTCCTTTCAGTCTCCTTCCTGCCCTAAGCAAAATCCTTGAAAATCTCCTCTTAAAAAATTTATATCAATTGCTGAAAGTGCTAATACCCTACCTCATAACCTGTTTTCCGTTCATTTCACTCCACTGTACAATAGATGCATCTCATGGTGAGCCAGAAACCGTTTTGCTCGGTATGACACCCTGGTTTGCAGTAGAGTCCTTTCACATACTTTTTAAAGTCATAAATCCTAATGGACAGACTGCTTTTTTTCTTATATTCCCATTACCATTAAAGTGGGTGTCCCCCAGGGGAGCTTCCTAGCGTCTTTTCTGTTCAAAATATACACAGCTGAACACTTTCTGTTCTCCCTAACAATATTATGTGCTCTGCCGTCATGTAATCCTGATTCTTAGCTAATCGTAACATCCAACTCCATTTAAACCTTATTCAGTCTTAGTCTTACAAATGGAGAATAAAAATTGACAAGATTAAATCCACCCATATTACCTTTACTCTCCAAAATTTCGTAACATCCAACTCCATTTAAACCTTATTCAGTCTTAGTCTTACAAATGGAGAATAAAAATTGACAAGATTGAATCCACCCATATTACCTTTACTCTCCAAAATTCCACTTGGTTCAGTCTTATTTCAATAGAAAACGCATTAGATATTGTCCACTACCTGAGACATTGACAAAAGATTA